AAACACTGGGTATTAAAAGGAAAAATAAGAAGAAATGCGAGTAAAGGGATAACCAATGACTTTTACCCCACGTGTGTTCCACCCTGAAAGCCCGTACTCAAGTTCATTTTAGTCGGCGAACTGTGAAAAAGCAGCCAAGCACGAAAATAATAACAAATTCCTGCACAAAGCAGAGTGAACTGAAGTAAAGTGAAATGTTTTTTTATGTAATGAGCGTAATAATCAGAGAAACATGCGAAAGGATCTGCCACGATTTTGTTGATTGATTCCAGCACAACAGCGAAAACCTTATTAAACCTGAACACCCCAAAAAGGTTTTCTTTTTTTTTTTCTATCACTCTCTGCCAAATCAAAGCCGAGTTAACCAAGACAATGCGAATGGGGTAAAGGCATTGACGACTGGGTTTTTTTTAGACTTGTTATCAGGAGGCGGATTCTAAGCCATGATGGATGAGGGAAAGTAAACAGATTTTGTTTCGCAACCATTAAAAGTATTTGTCTAGCAAACCCCTCATGTACATGCTTCAATTCCATAGAATGTAAGTTAATTTAATATAGCAAGTTTTTACCTAAATTTAAAGAGTTTCTGGATTCATTTTAACGCATATTATAATATATGGAAAGGTTAATCTCCCAATGCCACTGAACCACTTTTGTGCTGCTGCGCCACCGATAAATAAGAATAATGTGCGGAATCCAGCAAAGGAAGCCTCCATAATGACCATGAAAGAACAGTTTATGGTTAAATAAAGGCACAGCGGCCAAACTCCATTTTCTAGACACAGTGTCGGGCGTAACTGTAACGCCCCCATTTCCCTTCGCCAAAACATATATCCACCATCCCGCAGCGGGATACTCTCTTCGTTTATGCAAAGTAATGCAAAATTGCGACGGCGGCCAGCGGCAGCAGCGATTCAAATGCAAGTGGTCCACTTACCCACGATATGCACAGTGGTCAGAAAACTATGGAATTTTCATTAAAAAATCATAAAAAAAAGTCTTTTTAAAAAATATATTTAAAATATAACCATTCAAAGTGCTTATAATTGGCTTTAACATTTTTTTTAGGTAACGTATATATTACAATTTTTTTAAACACATTTTTTAAATGCTATTATAAACAAAAAAAAGGGAAGCATGTTTGACAATGAAATTAATTAAAATAAATCCTATTCTGCAAAAAATAGTTGCGCAAACAAAACTAAAATAAAATGAATAATCAACAACCACAGTGTTTTTCCAGCTGTGAGCATTTTTTTTTTATTGGCCAAGCTTGATAACGCATATTTTTGGCTTATTTTGCAGCTTACTGCTGCGACAGCAATTTTGCACAACTGGATGTGTGTGTGTTCTTTTCCTGGGATCACCACACACATGAAAGGGAAGTTTTAGTTTTCAATTGGCAAATGACAAAATATCCTTACTTTAACAAAGGAGATTTTCTTTAAGAAAAACTTTAAGTTAGTAAGAATATAATTCTTTAAATAATAAGCTTTAATCAATTTTTATTATTCTGTAACTGATAAACTATGAAAATTAAAATTAAAGAGTGCAAATAATTACAAAGATATCTCCTTAAAATTAATGCTTTTCTTTTTCTTGAATCCTATCAAGTAGGGTATGTATAATTCGGTATATCTCGGTGATTGGCTCTTCACACAATCATTTTTTGTCGCTGCGGTTTGCCCTTCGCTGCCCGTCTGCCGATAATCACGCTATTGCCCCATCAGCCGGAAATGGGCGCTCCGCCATCTTGTGTCTGCGTTACGAACGTGTGAGTGTGTGTTTGTGACTGTATGTGTGTGGGGTTGAGTGTGTGTGAAGCCGACGAAATATGCGTGCAAGTGGCATAAAGTGGCAGCCAGACGGCCATCTTTTGGGTCTTTGCCGTGCGGACGGGGTTGCCAATCTGCTGCCAAAGTGCACAGCGTATATTGGATTCGCCAATCATAAACTGAAGCCAACTGCATAATCTATGCACCATTGCAGTCGCACACAGACAGCGAAAAATGGATGGGGGCGTATGGAAATTGGTTTGAACAATTTTCCATCAGCATCCGAAATCCTTTTAGCGGAATTGACATCGCGTCACTTCACTTAAATCAGAATTTTTTATACTGAAACTAAACTTAATTTAAAGACTTAAAATTTTAATAGCATTTTTTTTTTAACAATAATTTGAAGAAAATTTTGAATATTATAACTTTAAAAAACCTAGATATCTTTTATTTACTAATTGAAATATTACAAATAATGTTCGCAGCTTAAGTAATAGGTAAACAGAATTTTTTTGAGGGATTATAATTAAGCTCATAACTCAAAATTAAACTCATTTTTTGATATTATTGGCTTACCACCCGTTTTATTTCCATTTTTTCTAACGTTTATTTTAAATTTAAAACTAATAAGCAGTCGGTCGGATATTAAAGCTACGAAACAATTGCGTTTTGCATATCTCCGGAACATTGCCTTCCACTTTTCTACCACTATTTCAGTTTTAGTTTGTCTGTGGCTCGAAATAATAACAATAACTATCTCTTATATCTGCTTAACAGCCAATGCAGTTAAAAAGCAAATGTTTTTCTCAATTGCCACTGCCATTGCCATGACTGTTATTATATTCGCTGCTGTTGTTGCTGATTTTGTTGCCAGTGACTCTGCTGAATCGCTGGTTTTGTTTAATTCCCTAAGAGAGCATATTATAATTATTCCAAGAACATTAAATATAAAAAAAAAAAATTTAATTTTTAAGGGATATATTAAAAATTATTATTTAAATCAAAAATTGTAATCAATTTCTTAATGAATTTCCAAAATGTTTTAGTTTTCAGTTTGTTCTTCAATGAATGAATAATTTAAAATTAATTTTTAACGAATTTATTATAAATCTTATGATTTTTATTTCGAGTGAGTATTAAACAAACCATTTTGAATTTTCTTTTAATATTGGTTAGTGAGGGTATACAAAACTTTGGCATTAAAAGCCAGACATCTTTTTTACTCTTTGCCAACGACATTGCCTTGCCAAAAACAATTCCCACTGAATTTTTACAGCCGAAATAATTTTTAATTTACATAAATGCCGGTCGCTATTCACAATGTAAGTGTGTGCTGCCGGTTTTTCTTTGGCTTCTGCCGGTTGCATTCAAAATACAGCAACGAATCCGAATCCGGAAGGCAAATGGAAGTGTTTCCCGAACGATCGTCCCTTTTTTTCAATGCCGGAATGTGGGTGAAACACTCAAACAAAATGCAATAAAAAGTTTGTAAGTCTGTTACTCTTTTCCATATAAAAAAAAAAAATTTTATTTTATAGTCCATATCATATTTCTTATTTGAAATCGTTTAAGTCAAGAAAAGAATTTAGTTTTAAAAGCTTAGGTTCCAACAATATAAGATACAAAAGCCGTATTAAATCAGCCGATAGCTCTTAATTTATTTGTAGTATTTGTTTTCATAACATTAAAGCTATATATTATAAACAATAATTTAACATATTTAGTTTTATTTACAAAATAAATATGTTAATGATCCCAAATTACAAAACTTATCATTTTAGCTGTCCTAGGAATGATTAGATTATTATTATTTCTGTAGAACAACTTTGTTCGGTATTTCTTTGTTTGTTTCTTGTTTGAACTGCTTAACTATTTTTTGATGATTTTAGGCCTTTTAAAGCTGATATTTTGGTAAAGTGCATTCCCCTCACAAGTTGGCAGCTGCAAGCTTGCGACACATAATTCTGGTTCATATTCGAATGGCGGCGACGCAGCAGTCCAAAAAGCAAATAAGTTCCTGTGCTCGATGTTTTTATGAGGGAGTTGGCATTTACAGATGCAGCATTCTCGGGGATTCCCTTCGCCAAGCCACGTCAAATGGTTGGACATTTATCGATTTGCCAGAACAGGGATTATTTGCGCTGCCTTGGCATCGTAATTTCTGGTAATCTGTGCTGCTTCGCACCGAAATTATCTTCATCGCTCATACGCCGCGTGGCCCGGGAAATGCATGAAAATTGTCACTTATATTCGTGGTAATTGTTGTTGCTGCCTGCCTGCTGTCCGAAATGATAAACGACCGAGAAACCTCCCTCTTCTCTGCTCCGCTATTCACAACATTTGTCCACCGCCCAACGTCTACATAAATGTATATCTATTAGCATTTATCTTGGTCTCGGAACCCGGACAAGTTTCGCCTGACTCAAGAATTAATCATGTGGCAATTATGCTGTGGCAACAGTTCTTCCCCAGCATCCATTTGCACACACACACATATAGAATAGCTTTCCTTTGGCCACTTCCTCTTAGGGATTTCTATGACATCGTCAAATGGTCGCCCAGTGAGAATTTCAACTAAATCATTGTGTCCGAAATTATGCCGTGCCTTTCGGAGGCACAAAACAATATTTGAAGATAAAGCCATCATCATGAAACCTGTACATTTATGGATACAAACTACCAAGTAATGCGTAATAAAATCAGGGTGAACCTTAATGCAGACATAAGCGGTCTTTGACTTAACGCTTTAGTTTTGTTTTACAAAGCTTAATAAAAAAGGAACAGACTTCTTTTTTAATAAGACATAAAAACATGAATATTGTTTATTTCAGCTGAATGATTATTCTATGCAATTTTATTTCATTTAGATATTAAACATGAAAGTTTATGTTCTTCGTTATCATCACGTACATCGCATTCTATCTGCAAATAAGTGTTCTGGATATACCTAAATAAATAATACAATTTAGAATTTTTGAAAATTATTATTAATGTTGTATTATGTTACTATTATTAACAAACCAAAACCAGAAGGAATGTTTCAAAAACCTGTTACTTTGTTAACAAAATAAACACAGAATAGAGATGAAGTTAACCACGTTTATCTTAAATTCCTAAAACCTTATAAATTTTGTTTTCGACTTATGTTTTATGTGTATTTTTAGATGTTGATTGAATACATTTAAATCGCTTAAAAACATTTATTTACTGCTTAAAGAGGCCTTAAATTTTGTATATAACTTTATATGTTTACTGGACAGTAAATGGTATAGAAAAATAATGCAATTAAACACATTTAAATTTTGTAAATTACTTCAAATGTTTACTGAACAGCAAATGGCAATTTCCACATTCCTAGGTGGTGGATACACGCTCCTGAGGAGCTTCTTCCACCTCCGGTTCGATGGTGGCAATGGAGTCGGTCCTGTCCACATCCGGAAACTCAAACGGTCGGAGCAGGTGCTTCTTGCAGCTGTTTTGCTGATCGCCATTATCCTCGTCGTCGGAGGACACCTCACTGCCAACCTTCATTTTAACAGGCAGCTTGACCGAGTCGATGCGCAAATGACCAAGACAATCGAATCCGACATAGGCCAACTTAAAGCTGGCCACCGCATTCGCAAAGTCCACGGCATCGGCCAATCGTCTTTGCCGCACAAAAGCGGCATAAATAAAGGCGGCTGTAAAACAATCACTATCGCCTACACGATCCACGATCTTCTTGGTCTTATAAGCGGGCAGTTCGAAATAGTGTCCTTCGGTGGTCATGCAACCCGCACCCAAACTACTCCACGGCACAATCACACAAGGCCTCCGGATCCTGATGTCCCTTGGCATTCGCAGCAGTTGGTTGATTCCCTCGCAGGCTTCCTTCGGCGAATTCCAACCTCTGGTTTCGGCTATATACTTGGTGATGAACACGTAGTCGCACATGCCAATCAAATCGATGACCTCTGCGAAATCATTAAAGATCTGCAGCGAGACCACAATGCGATCTATTTCCTCTTTGCCGTTATTATGATCGAGGATCAGGCGAATCATATCGCAGGTTTCCCGTGGACTACGTGCCTCGAAGTTCACCCAACCGTACTGATCGAGATCCAGTTTCCGGAAATCGGCAGCCGTGACATACGGAAACGCCTTGTCGCAGTAGATCACAGTGCAGCGTCGAGTCCATCGCTCCTGGACGATCGTAGAGAACGGAGGACTCTCGTCCGTGAAGGTACAATGACTAATGTCAATTCCACGCCTTTCCAGATCATCCAAAATCATACGGTAAGTGGGATTCCGAGACAGCACGCCGAACAACTCCACATTGGCGCCCAAAAGTCGGAGGGCCGTGCTCACGTTCGAGGATCTTCCGCTGCGGTGAAGGGTTCCGTTTTGGGTGCGGGATCGATCGCTCTGGAAATCCACCTTCTCAATGGTGGTCACGTAGTCCACCTCCGTGCAGCCGACGCAGAGCACGGCCTTCATCACACTGATGGAACACCATTGGGACATCTTGACTCTAGCTGCGATTCCAGTCCTCGATATCGATTCACAATCCTCGTCCTCTCCTCTTCCTTCGATTCCTTAGCCTCAGTTTTAGATTGTCATAATTTCGTTTCTATTTCCAAATAGTTTGACAAACCCTTGATTCATGGTAGTAACGATTGTTCATTTCTGTTTGCTATCCAAAAAGACGATCTTCGTATATTTCAGTGGAAAATAAATCATTTGCTTAGACATTGTTATTTAGCTACTTAACTTACATTAAACAGATACTCATGAAATTATATAAAAATTCTGTATGATTACTAATTAAAAACGTTAAGATACAGAAATATCATAGCGACTTATTATCAAGATTAAAGAAAGTATGTCAATAAAACGGAAATAATCTGGGTCTTTTAAGAAACTTTTAAGCGACTAGATTTTATTATTAATTAAAGCAATTGGTAGAATTGTAATGGAAAATCGTTTACAAATTTGATTAATATACATTAATAAAACAGAGGAAATATATATTGAGTAAAGACTTACTTTTCTAGTATCAAACATGCCTATTGCCCAGTTTTAATCTTAGTGAACTAAGTATGATTTGATTTAATAATCATGCTGGAAAATGGTAGACAATAGAGCCAGTCTAATTTGCTCCATAAAATCAAAAAGTAATGCTTTTGTAAATTTGTAATTTTAAAATTTAAAATTAAAACAGCAAAGACAGTAATTCGATCAAACCATGGGTGATAGTGACAAAAAATTGAGCTGGGCTGTTGGCAAGAAGACGGTGATGTGTGTGGGCGCCACGTCCATTGACTTCGTCTCGACCACGAAGACCTTTCCCGAGCCGAATAAGTTGGAGAAGGCCGTCGGAGGATACTGGATACGCGGCGGCAATGCCTCCAACAATTGCACTGTGCTCTCGAATCTGGGGGTCAAGGTGGAGTTCTTCGGAATGCTGAGCAGCTTGTGTATGTTCCAAGTTCTGGTGGATGACCTAAAGGCACGTGGCATCATTGTGGAGAACTGCCCAACCTGTGACCAGCCTGCACCTTTTGCCTCTGTGATACTCACCAAGTCGACCAAGACGCGAAATATCATATCCTGCAATAGTAACTTTCCCCATGTCGATATCAATGATTTCCGTAAACTGGACCTCAGCAAATACGGTTGGATTCACATGCGGGCACTTTACTTCGAGAACACCATGGCGATGATCAAAGAATTGGCGGCATATAATGCAAATAGGGAGGATAAGATCGTTGTGTCGGTGGAGTTTGACCACAATCTGGACGATATGTGGCCCCTGATGGACTACTGTGACTATGCCATCTTCTCCAAGCAGTTGGCCCATCCGAATGGCTGGCTTTCCATAGAGGATGCCTGCATGCAGCTGGACGAGCGATTGGGGATGCGATTTGGCCTGAACCTCAAGCGACCCTGCTTAATAGTTCTGTGGGGCGATCAGGGGGCCGGGTTCATGGACCTCGCCGGGCACTACACCCACTCCAAGCCCCACAAACCCAGACGCATCGTGGACGCCCTGGGAGCAGGTGACACCTTCGTGGGCGCCTTCATCTACGCCCTCTACATCCGGGAGCGATCCCTTCCAGTCGCCGTGGACTTCGGCAATCGCATGGCCAGCTACAAGTGCTCCAAAAATGGCTACGATCACATCGCCAACATTCTACTTCCACCGGTCTTATGATTTCGACAAAACCATTTCATGATGTTTGCCCTATTTCACGTTTTATAACCCAAAAAATAAATGTTTTCCAACAAAAAAAGGATTTTTTTAAACACAAAATTATAGTCAAGATTTCACGAAATCAAATTTATATTTGGTGCCCTTCAATTAAAACAGAAACCTTTGCAAAATGTAAGCAAAAAATCTTATAAAATGATAACATATTTTTCATGTATTTACCTTGGCCAAATTAGAAGTTGGGATGAGGTATAAGAAACATTTGTTTTATTTATTGACAACATTTAGCACTTTAAAACCATAAGTAACACAAATTTTAAGCGAATTAAAATTGGCAATAATCATGCAACTGGAAGCCATCCTTTTAAATTATTCCCAATTTAAACGCCAAGTACTTCCTGACTTTAATAATATACATTATTTCATTTACATTTTATTCCAATTTAAATTTGATTCTGAGCAATGACCATAAAACAGTAATTGTAAATATATAGCTTATGTACATATATGCAAATGGAATTAAAAATGGGAGGAAAAGAGAAACTGTCGCATGCCCTTAACCCGTTAAAACCGACCATTTATTACGTATGCGCACCGCTGACCAAGGATAATAATTACCTTACCAGACGCTCGACCAAAGTGTATCGGTCATAAATAATGGGATATACGAATGCGAATGTATACAAAATTTTCGTTTTACCTTTCCAATTGATTGCAAAACGGACCTGCAATGTCATTTAATTTTCATCGCTGAAAAGGGTTCAAATATTTTCATTTATTTTTACGTACCTTTTGTCGTTTACCCTTGGCTATTTGAAATATAGCCAGATTATTTAAATAAATGGCAGCCGCTTGGCCACTAAATGGGTCAATAAATATGCGACCAGCAGGTGACCAAACTGTCCCTGTTTCAAGCCGATAAATGAGATCTCCGCCAGCAATAGATTATTATTCGCTTGTGTTCGCACAGATTATGCAAATGCGACTTGAGGCGAATCCTTGATTAGAGATTTGCTGTGGCAAGATTTGAAGCAAAATCAATAAGACCTCTGATTTTTAAATGTATTATCACAAAGCCGAGGAAGTGCATGGACCGCGAAAAAAAATCAAGCAAACATAATTCATAAATATTCAAATGAAAATCCTCGCACCACTTCAATAGAAAAGTTAAGCCAAATTACGTTTAAAAATTATACATAAAATCTCGTGATTCAAGGAGCCAAGTGGTCAAAATGGGCAACTGGCCGCCGTCAACTTCACTTTTGCCGCTTGATTGAAACTCATTTATCATCGTAAATTAGAAGTAAGGGGGGCTTGGAAGAGATTCATCATACTCCCGCCAGCGAACTGTAATCTGGCTCAGATTGAAAATTAATGAGGTCATCAGGCTCTGCATACCCAAATAGCTCTGCCAAGTAACTTAAAGCAGTGCGCGTTCTTCGCTTTTCTTTCTCCAATATTTTACTTGTTTGTACTCTTACAGGAGGTATAACAATTTTGTTTAGAAGTTTGGTCAGAACGCGGAAAGAACTCAGACAAAATAGGACGCACAGCCAATGTAATTACCGTGTTGTGCAACTGAATACCTAAGAACTGAATTATCATCTTCAATTTGATTTGAAAAAAATAATTTTGGTTACCGATTTTGGCCCCTTTTTTTAATGTTTTTTGCGATAAATTGCCAAAAATATATTTTTACAGCTGAGAATATGAATTGATTATAAATTTTACAACGAGTTCAACATTTGGCCATTATTTCGCAGGGATTTTATCTATAAATCAAAATTTAAGTTAATTACTTACGGATTTTGGCCTAAAAAATGTTTTTAAAGACTTTTTTGTTCTACTTCTTTACTCAATATAATAGTTTTATCTAATATTTGAACTGTTTTTTGGATTAAATATAAGCTGTCATTTAAACAAAAGCAGTGCGCAACCTCATCAATTTTCTGTGCAATTGGAAGGGTATTTAAGCTGCAGCTTGTCAAAGGAAGCTTACGTTCTCTTTCTATTATAAATATTTCGCTTTTTGTTGCTATTTAAAAATTCACTTAGCAGGAGGGGCTTAAATTCATCCACCCGTAAGTTAAGTCCCAATCTCGCCGCATATTCATCCCCCACAATATTGAATAAAATTTTCAAATTGTCCTTTTACCCTGACATTCTCCCCCAAAACCAATTTTTAAAAGCTCTTTCAATTGTAATTACCTCAATAACAATCATATTTACTTTTCATCTTAAAACTTAAAAACTTAAAAAAAATATTAATATACCTGCATTTCAGCTTGAACAAATTTATTTGGCATTGAAGGATTTTGTATTTTAAAATTTGAACATGTTTCCTTTCTCCTTTACAATTTGTAATTTTTAATATTTTAAAATATTGTTTAAAGGAAAAAATAATTTTTATTAGCAAACTTGTTCCGAGAAACTTTGAAACATTACAGAAGTATATACCTCTCCTATGTGAAAAGAGGTCCTTGGACTATAGTTTTGATATGTATTGTAGGTATTGATTGTGTATTGAACCTCTGTTCCCGTTTCTATGGCTCTTTTTGTACAGCTTCCGGTTTATTGGGCAATTACGCGAGCAGCGCTCTGATTATGCATCAGCCGGCAATTGTTTTGACATTTAATCAAAGGAAGGACAAAGGGACTCCCGTCGATGGGGAAATTGTGCCGGTGGGGATGCCGATGGGGCTGGAGTTCCATCCCGGAGCTCTGGCATCCGGGTGCTCTGATAAGCTTGACTGGACACTCTGGTAATTGAGTGACTTGTTCGCCGTTGTCCCATGGAATCGCGGTTCAATGTCCCCTTAATGCAACGCTCCTACCAATCCCTCAGTATTATTATTCGTTTTCATGGCGGATGGCAGATCAAAGCGCGATTGGTAGACGTCGATTTGATACCCTATAGTCTCTGATTAAATGACTATATAGCATTAGTGATGTTTTCCGACCTTTTAATGATGTCCGTTTCAGACGAAGGCAGATTTGCTATGCAAATTCTTAATAATAAGCATAAAAAAGTATACAATTGGTCGTAACACTTTTTTATGCGTCAACATGACCGCCACAAAATGCTTTCATTTCCTTTTGAATTTCTTTGGCTGCCATTGTGCAAAGCAAAAGACATAACATCAAAAGGAAAAACACAACTACAATACCAGCCACATCCTTCGATTATGTCAAACAAAAAGGCAGCAATTTGGATTTAAAGAGCGACCTTGGGAGTTAGGAGTATGGACATGGGTATATGGCTTTTGTATGGTCGGTACTTCAATTTACTTGCCACATTTCCGCCAAAGTCTTGCCCAACTTTTCTCATTTCGGTTGCCGCTGCTCTTGATGCTGTGCTTCATTTCTATTTCAATTGCTACATCAAAAAAACGGACTTCCGCTTCCGGTGGCGCTGCTTGAAGCTTGCAGCCAAAAACTTTTGCGTATACCCTGATTTGTGAGAAGTTCCTTGATTGGCGATCCTTACTGCATTTATATATATATAAAAGACTTAGCTTCAAGTTGCCAAAGTGCTTTTAATTTGAAGATCATCTTTATGTATTTAGCAAGGGAAATAAACAATAATAGTTTTAAAGTTTAAAAGCCAAATTACAAAATAATATTCCAAATCATAAATAAGTCTCAATTGCATAATATAAGGAGAAGATAATTTTCTTACATTTTACATCATTTACTTTTTAAATTAAACAAATTAAACTATGTAAACCAGGCACAAAGTATTATCCACCAGACTAAAGTGTAAAAGGACACCATGCTTGTTTCAGTATCATCAAGTTTATGAGATGGGCTCTCTTTTGATACTTTTTCTTCTATATAAGAAAGTTTTTCAGAACTTATACATGGGTTCTTTCCGTCGAGGTCTTTAGATTGAAAAATTTGGCAACCAATTTCAGGTGACCAAACTGTGTTTTTTTCTGAAATGTAATAGCTTTTAGAAAATTCAGAAAATAGACAAAATGTGGCAGAATATAAATTTTTGGTACCTGGAGGAATTAAGTCTGTTTTCATTGCCGGAAAAAGCTGCAGATCCTGTCGAGGGCTCAACTCTTCATGTAAATAGGGAAACGTCTTACAATTATATCCGGTTTGGGAAATTATGAACTTTTCCGTGGACTGTTTTCTACAATCAATGCACAATGAATTATTATTACTCAGTTTAGCGAATGTAGTCAATGGACTTAGGACTAGTAAGATAAGAAAATATTGAAGTATCTTTGGCATGTTGAAAATTAAAAAAAAAAAACAAAGTATTACATTTATTTCAAGGCAGCTAAGCTTCAAACTTTTGTATGTGATTAATTTGAACCCATTCCAGTATCCCAAATCGACCGAAACCATAACACAAATGTTGTTTGCATTGAACCAGACTTATTTATCTGCCATTAATTGGGAACAAGCAGACTGCGGGACTTTGGCAAAACTTTGGCGAATTAAAAGTTCTCTCAGCGGTCAGAAAGTCAACAAGATATCAAATCCTTATTTGCATAGACAGACCCAAACCCTTTCTACCGATTGACTGGCTGACTGACTGACTAACACCCTGATTTATTTGCTTACAGTCTGATTCACTTGCTTATGTGGTGGTATTGGGCAACGCTGCGTATGCCTAATTAATGCCCCTGGCCCTCGTCGAAAATGCGTCAATTTACCCAATTTGCTTCCTAACCCCTTTCGAATTTCGGTTTCTTTGCTAACGATTAGGGTCTCAGAGTTTCCCTCACATCAAGGAATTCAGTTTAAGTTTGTAACTTAATATAAATTGTCTTGGCTTGCGGCTATTTGTTTAATTAATTAGTGCTCCAGACGAGTTATATTTGGCAAAGTTGATAGTTTGAATAGTTTATTTGCCTAGATTTATTTGCTTGTTTAGCTGACAATATAAAAGCTAATAAACCAAAATTGTTATATCAATGGAAAACGTTGATGTGCTAACCATATGTAAAGTTTTTTAACAATTTTTTTAATCAGCAAAAAAGGTTTTTTTTAATAGCTCAGGGTAAGGGTAAACATATTTCAACTTAGGATTTGTGAATTTTTACCTGAATATAAGGTTTATCTAAAATGTTTTCAACTTTGGTTACAACACTTAAAAATCCTTGTTTTTTTAATAAGGAAAAAATGTTTTTAATAGCTCAGCGTAAAGGTAAACATATATAAACTTAAGGTTCGTCATTTTTTACCTGAATATAAGGTTTATTTCAAATGTTTTCAGTTTTGTCTACAACACTTAAAGAGCCTTGAGGGATTTTCTCTGTGGAATTAGTTCGATATTTACTTGTTTGTTTACAGAGTAGCAGTTCTAAAAGAAATTGTATGTTGAGTCGGGCAATTTCCCTTACTTGATTATGGGTAATCGGGCCCCTGACTCGACGACCCTCATTTCGCTCGGTCCGATACGCTACCCCTAGAAAATGATGACCCGGGTTCGAATGTGGCGGTGGTTACCTGGGATGTTATTGCAGACAATTGCAGGCTATTGACATTTCAATTGTCTCTTATTATTGCCAGGACCTAGGACATTAAACTGGCGAAGGGAGCGAGAACGACCCTCATTTAAATTTAAAAACAAAATGAAACAATGGAAAAGCACTTTGGTGGGGGTAATACACGCATGCAATGAAAGCAAAAATTTGCATAATAATAATAGCAATTGCACACGCTTCAGGTATTAAAGACTCATCCTCAACTGGATTTGCAAAAAGAGGAAAATAACCAAAGCAAGAAAGAATGCAAAACAAAAAACGAGGAAAAGAAAAAGCGTAATGTGAAGAATCCAATTTTCACTTAATTTTCTATGACGCCAGAGTTTTTCTCTCGGAGTTTTCCCTAGGGCAAGTCACAGTTTGAATCCGAGTAAACCAACATCCCCTCGACTTCACTCCTCTCGGCTTCACTTTGGAAAATAAGAAAATAGTCAAAAATGCTCGGAGCCATTTTCATTCCGTTTGTTATTTTGTCTTAAAGTATCAATTTGTGTATCATTAAAATAATTTGATTTCCATTCGACGACAAGGAGACCTGACCCGTAGGGCAAGGGGTTTTCGTCTTTGACTCTCACGATCTAATTTTACCCACATCTGATAGGGACCCCCACCTTTAAAATATGTTAACCAAGTGCTCATGAGGACATTATTTCAAGACAAGGCTTTTAAAATGGCAACTCGATTAAGTAAAACGTAATATATATAATATTTGTGTTTCGTGGAAATTTATTATTTAAAAAAAAATAAATAAATAAAACCGTATTGTATCTTTTCCAAACAAACCTATGACAGTAAATAACAACAATAAAACTAATTTCCACGAAGGTGTCATTATTCTGGTTTTATCTATTACTTTTTATACGTACTTTGTTCTCTGGAGGTTTAAAAAACAATAAGGAAAAAACAAAAATGGGATTATATTTTTATTTTTGTAATTATAATAGTAATAATTTAGAATGATATGATATCATATGAAACTTACTACCCATTTATTAATAAAGAACAATTAGGAAAGGGAACAATTGAATAAATGTAGCATGCTTTTAAGCTGCACCCAATTTAATTGCTGTTTCCTGGGCTAAATGCTTAAGGATAATTATATAACGAAATAGTCTAATATTTGGTGGTTTTTCCAATTTCTAATAGTTATGCATACTTAGCTATTTTGTAAACATTTTGACTTTTTGTCTTCCGTCAGATGTTCGTGTTCCTTCTCGACTCGAGACTGTATATTTTTGAGCTGCTTTCCAAATACAATATCTGGGTGTTCCAGCATGAGTTACAAGAAGGGTGAGACCCGCCAGGAGAGCGACACCCTGGGACCCATGGAGGTGCCCATGGATCGCTACTACGGCGCGCAGACGATGCGGTGCGTCCTCAATTTCCGCATCGGTGGCGAGGAGGAACGAATGCCGGTGAGTATAACCAAATAAATATGTAAAAAGTGGTATTATTTATGTAAGATAATTATTTTTAAAAACATAATCAAAAATCGTTTAAAAAAGAAAAGAGCTAAACCAGCTTTAACCATTTTTCTTAACTTAAAAAAATAACTTCTTAAGCTTCAATTGTTTTATGTATCAATCAATCTGTTCCCACCTTGACCAAATTAATATATATTAAATAATTATTTAATAAATAAATATTATTAAATAAATTAAATTTCTTTGAAAATGCTATCTTAAATTGTTAAATAACTAAAATACAATTCATAATTTTGTGTGCTCTTATTGAAACCTTTGTCCAATAAATGTCCATATCCACATTATATTTACTTAATATTTTGTGTTGATTTATTGTAAACTATTAAAATACGTTTCATAATGTATATGTATCTGAAATCAGCGCCAGATAATCCAGGGGATGGGCATCCTGAAGAAGGCGGCTGCCGAGACCAACCAGGAATTCGGATTGGACCCCAAGCTGAGCACGGCGATCTCGAATGCGGCGGACGACGTGATCTCCGGGAGGCTCTACGACGAGGGCCACTTCCCGCTGCCCATTTGGCAAACGGGATCGGGCACCCAGAGCAACATGAACACCAACGAGGTAATCGGCAACCGGGCCATCGAGCTGCTGGGCGGACATGTCGGCTCCAAGGACCCAGTGCATCCCAACGACCATGTGAACAAGTCGCAGAGCTCCAACGACACCTTTCCCTCGGCCATTCACATTGCGGTGGCCACCGCCTTGACCAAGGAACTCCGTCCGGCGGTCACGGCTCTGCGGGATTCCCTACACGCCAAGTCCATTGAGTGGAAGGATGTGATCAAGATCGGACGCACCCACACCCAGGATGCGGTGCCGTTGACTTTGGGCCAGGAGTTCAGCGGCTATGCCCATCAGCTGTGCAACGGTCTGCAGAGGATCGAGGCTGTCCTGCCGCGGGTCTATCAACTGGCTCTGGGTGGCACCGCCGTGGGAACGGGTCTGAATACCCGGCGGGGATTCGCCGAGAAGTGCGTCAAGCGGATTGCCCAGCTCAGCGGACTGCCCTTCGTGGTGGCGCCCAACTTCTTCGAGGCTTTGGCTAGTCGGGATGCCATGGTGGAGGTGCATGGAGCCCTCAACGTACTGGCCGTCAGCCTGATGAAGATCACCAATGATATACGATTTCTGGGGTCCGGACCACGATGCGGCCTGGGCGAACTGCAGCTGCCGGAGAACGAGCCGGGCAGCTCCATCATGCCCGGCAAGGTCAATCCCACCCAGTGCGAGGCCATGACCATGATCTGCGCCCAGGTGATGGGCAACCACGTGGCCGTCACCGTCGGCGGAGCCAATGGACACTTTGAGCTGAACGTGTTCAAGCCTCTCATCGCATCCAATGTACTGCGCTCTATCAAACTGCTGGGTAAGTGTAAAATATCCTTTGCTTTAAGGAAATCAATATATAGCAATTTAATTAAAATTAAAAATTTAAGTGTATGCCAAGCATCTTACACAGCATCATGTCCTAAGACCATAATAAAGCCTTTCAATAAATATACCATTTGTCCTGATGGGACTATAATATTAGTAAATTTCAAAAATAAAACATTTTAAGTAATTAATTATTGCAAAATTCAAATTTAATAGTGTACTAAAGTTGCTTACAATTTGTATCACATTTTATCAGAATAAATATTTTGAACAATATTGAAAATATAAAAGCCTACTTATTTTTTTTACCTTCAATAAGGTTTATATTTACGAAATTTGAATAGGTTTCGATCTAGATTTCCCCAACAAAATTTGTTCCAATATTTAAGTTAAGTAAATTAAATTAGATACATCCTTAAAATAAGCATGAAAAGGTGTTAAGAAATAATTTGAAAATGTACTTTTAATTTTAAATTATAATAATAAGTTTAATCTCAGTTTTTCTTGAAAACAGTTTTTTAGTTTTTTTGTTTATATTTTATTTTGTATGAATTCGAATTAATTTCAAATTCCTTTTTTAACGGACTTCCAGCGGATGGATGCATCAGCTTCAACTGCAATTGCGTCAAGGGCATTAAGGCCAACAAGGAGAAACTGGCCCAGATGGTGAACGAGTCTCTAATGCTGGTTACAGCCCTCAATCCGCACATCGGCTATGAAAAATCAGCTCTGATCGCCAAAGCGGCTCACAAGAATGGAACCACTTTGAAGGAGGAGGCCCTCAAGAGCGGAATTTTGGAGAAGGACTTCAACGAATGGGTTCGCCCAGAAAAGATGCTGGGCCCCTCTTAGGATCCGCCTCAGATCCGCCTCAGATCCCCGTTTTATTTGTTTCCCATTACCATAAATTTCGTGTTCACTAAATTTCCAACATTTCGTGTCACTGCAATCAGTTATTTAATATGGATTAAATATTTGATAATCCAAGTCCGATGGAAAGGTGGTTTGTTATTTTCAGGGCTTAATAAAGACCTAAAGTAAATTTTAAAAGGTACATTTTAAACTAATAAATCTAATAAAAATGTATGTTTTACACTATTTAAGTTCATTACATTCACTTTCAAGTAGAAAATGTTATGACACACACACAATGGACGGACAAACTAACGAAGAACTTGTTGTCATATCGATGGTATAACGTACTAACGTACTCCATTTTCCATCAAACTCAAACAAAACATAAAGAATGAAATTATGCACACTTGACGACAAAAATCAACATGAACAGACGTCGTGCTTATATAACATTACTTCCGCGGTGAATCGAGATGCGCAATCGTCTTTTTATTAGCCAATTTTAGCTATTTATAGAACCAATATAAAAAAGTAAAATAAAAACAATTTATTATTAAAAATGTTATGTAGTTTAGTATATTAGTTATAATGAAATAATATTAAATTAACAATTAACATTTTTACATTACGAAGTAATTATACCGAAAACAGATAATACCTATACCCAAAATACCTATTAATTTCCTAATACCTTGTATGCCTAGTATACCCTTATAATTAAGTTTCTATTTTATGATTCTGCTCGACTTGGCCTATAATAATCGATTATTTTCACCATTGCGGAAACGAGAGTAGCGCCGACATATTGACAGTGAGCTGACAGTTCGTCAAGGGAAGCAGTTACACAAAAAAATAGCTGACTGATACTGAAAAACAGGATCCGCGACCACAACCAGGATGTCTTGGCTAAATGACAGAATGACAAAATGACAGACTGACTGATGTCCTGGTTGTGGCGACGTATGGCTTTATGCGGCCACCAATATCAACATGGGCTTATTAACAAGACCCGGAACAAGAGGCTAAAACCTTTCTCCTTTTTTCGGGAGGTATATAAAAATTGATTACTGCAGCCCAGCCCAACATAAAACCAGAGCCAAACAGGAGACCAAATACTAGACCGCACCCGAACTGAACCATCGAGACGAAAATGACGTGACAGCAGCCCATTTACTGGCGACAAGTTGGCCATTGGGGTTATGTGGTGCGTAGGAAATTACTAGGTTGCCCTCTCCACAAGGACTAAATTATTTTGGCTATCAAAGGAATACGGACACATATGAAATATATACATCCTAATAGGATTTTAACTTTGTTAAAAATAATCATAATAATATTATGTATACATGTGAATCTACAAAGGTTTTAAAGTCTTAAAAAAAAGAAAAGGTTTTATTCCGTTTTCTAATATGATTTTTTTTTAAATCTGAAACTTAAATTTGGCGAGTACGTCAAAATTTAATTTTTTTAACTTTGAAGTAGCACAAAATAACTAAATTGGCCTATACTTACCTTTTATTAGTTTTAGTGATAAGTGAAAAACATATATTTATAAATATTGAAACAAAAAATGTAAGCTTGCCGTCAATATGTGTTTAACATTAGCCTTCATGTTACTATTAAAATCATATTTTAGGGATCGATGTATTCGGAATATAATATATATTTATATTTCTATTAAATAACGAAAAAAACCAACGTTTTTATTTATTTTTAAGATTTTTTCTTTTACTTCTCTACTGCCTACAGACTTTCTATGAACATTCCAAACTTCTCTTACCCAATTTTCTGCCTTTGCCAAAGCAATTCAGCTACATCTAGGAACTTTGACAGTTTCTCGCAGCACCTACAAAAACAGGCCAAAAACTAACCGAAAAAGTTGCGTAAACTTCAAGTGCAGGATAAACAGGACGAAGAAGGAAACCACGGTGGCTGAAGTAATACGAAATATAGTATGTAAGTACTCTGAGCCAACACAATTCAATTTAACTTTTTCATTCCTTTTGCCAAGCTCCTTTATTTTCCTTTTATTTTTTTTTTGTATATGGAGCTTGCTATCCAGTTGGTTGTTGGTCGGTGAGCAAGTGTGATATGTGGATGTTATGGCAATTTCCACCAGAGTCAGAGTAGAGTCCCATTCAAAATTAAAATGTTCCTTATGCACGAGAGATTTCTGATGGAACGAAACGAAATGAAATGAAAGCTAACGGCCTGGAAGTCAACCAACCTGCGACAGACGACAACGACAATGTTCATAAAGCCGGGAATCGGGGATCAGGGTATAAATATATGTACATATATGTAGGTATTCGCATTTATACTTCAGCAAGTGAAGTAAGCCCACTGGTTACTATGGTTGACTATCAACGGGCCACACAGTCAACAGAAAAAATGAATTAACGCCTATTAGCCCAAATCATGCGCCAAAGAAATTTAGGTTAATCCTTTTCATTTGACCTTAAATTTGTTTAGGGTTTGCTATAAAGATAATGTTTTAAGTTACCTCTCGAAATAGCTTTATTTTCTGCAATTTGGAATATAAAAATGTTATAATTTATATCATAAACCTAAAAAGCTAATTACGAATAACTGACTGCGGATTTGCCAAGTTTTCAGGAATAGCTCCTAACCAAAATCAGAACACGGAACGTAACACTGGGGGAAACATTGCCCATTTTTGGCAGAAGGAGTCCAATTGCAATTGTAGGTGGACCGCAGAGCAACACGAAACTTTAATCAAATCCACATGTCCGACATGAAAGCCCGAGAATCCGGCCAACATCTTGAGCGAAAAGAATCGGGGAAAGATGGAAGACGTCTCCGTCTTATTTCATTTGCAGGCAGGCGGGCCATAAATCTCCGTAAACAAGCGCCTAGTGGGTCGAGTTGGGCGGTCGAGAAAAGGGCACGAAACACGAAATCACATTCGCAAAAAATAATTAATATTTATTACCCGAGAATGAAGTATTATCAAATTGCATAATTGCTGTGTTTCTCATTCGACACGACAGGCGGACAGAAGGACGGGGTGGGGACCCCAGAGGGGAGCACTCTCCTCTTCCGACGGCCAATTCCTGGGCCAATTCCCCGATCCTGGATGGCCACCCGCTTAGCGCCCTCCACAAATCCCAGCCCAACTCGAGGACCTGCCTGTAAAGTGTCTACAACATATTTCACACTCGCAAAAATGTTTGTGTATTTCGTGTAATTCTGAAAAAAAAATTAATTTTATTTCTTGCTTATTTTATACAGTATGCCCAGTTAAAAAGCCAAAAAAAAACTTTCGTAATTGTTAGTATAACAAAATAGGTGTTTAAAATTTATATTAAGAGTACTATTAAGAGTACTTACAGGGTATAGCATTGTAGAGAGAAAATAATTAATTAGACACATAATCACCAAAACAAATTATATACATAAATACAAGAAATGAAAAAAATTTTAAAACAAATAAACTAAAATCAGAAATATTAGTAAGCCATATACGTAAGTACAAAAAATGAACAAAATTTTAAAACAAATAAACCAAAATGAGAAATATTAGAAAGCCATATAACAGATATAACATATTACCATATACATAATATTAAATAACAACTTGATATGTAAAAGAGTTACTAGAAAAATCGTATTATTAAAATAAAAAAATGTATGTTTCCACTTAAACTCTAACCTCTTTTCTTCCAGTGCACGACTACGTCTTGGACTTGGTCTGCACTTTTGGTCTTGGTTGTGGAGTGGACCGGCTACTTGCGCGCAAATTGCTACTCTCGTCCACTGCTCGGTCCGAAAAAGTTTTTGATATATGAATTAAGTTTCCTTCGGCCCTTTGTGTGCGTTTGTTTGGCTGAGTTTGCAACGGCTGTGCGGCGTTGAGACATTTTGGATTTACGTTGTAATTACAGGATTTTGGATTTCTTCGTTGGCCAGAGTCAACTGGCAGGCCCCCGGGTCGCTTGAAGGTTATTTATTATGACATGTTATTTAGGTTTCATTTCAAAAACTTGATTGGACACTTTAGACTGCCGTTGCAGCGGAAACATTGCGTGCCCATGTGTTGTTCGCCAAAAGTAAAGCACGGCATTTTGCCCCAGGAACCCAAGAACCCAAGAAGCCACAGGAATAGTAACGATAATGGGAATCCGGCGAAGAGGACGTAGTACCTCGGGTTTTTCGTGGTTTCCCGGGTGTGAAGTTTCGAGCGGCCCAAAAACACGCGATTCGCCGCGGGGTCAACAGTTAACATCCGACCTGCGTAAAAATATCGTGTAATCCAGCTTTATCGCTTTTATTTTTATCACAATATCTTTTACTTGGATGCATCTGCTTTGTATACCGATAAATTTGCTAGGTTGAATATTATATTTCCCAGCTAGCTTCTATTAAATCGTATTAAACACACTTTATTGTGTTTAAATTAGAAATCACTTTCATTTCTATATAGTTAATCATTTTTTTTGGCACTAAAAACAAACTTTCGTTAAAGCCACTGCCAAATGATATCAAATATTCTAACACAAACACTTAATTGATGAGTACCTCTGAAGGGTGGAGAAATCCTTTCAAGTAGAACCTTCATGACAAGACCTATAGAAAAAAAGAAACTGAATGATGTGCATGACTTACGTGTTTTGGGCAAGACAATGTGAGAAAAGATAAGCAAATCCGAACGTGAATTCATTTAAATAATTAAACCATGATTCCAGCGTACACATTTGACCTTAAGAGCCGGCGAGTTAATAGCTTTCAAATTACGGCAACTTGTATGACGGACAGGAATATAAGAATATAAGAAGCGAACAGTTGGAAACAGAACTGAAGAAGAGGAATAATTAAAATGAACGAAATTAATTTGTTCCACTTGAGCCACCCGCCTAACAATGATAAGACGTTTTTACTCCACGTCGATTGTCGGCCATGTCTGACCAGATTGTCTAAGCCATGGCCCAAACCCAAGAATACGACAGTGCCAAACCTCTTGATGCCCTCAAATGCCGGTAAAAAAAACCAATAATCTCTATATGTACACTTGGAGAAAAAACATTAGAATAAAGCAATTACAAATGTGTTTTAACAAATTTAAATAAATCATTATTATTTATTAAAGTTTTTAGTTATCTTTAATAGTTCGGTTTTATTTACCTTGTTTAATTTAAAAGAATTGGTAGTAAAAAGAACAGCAACAGCAGTAATTTTACTCCTAACTCATAATGTATTATATAAAATATATTTATGAATAATTTTCTGTTGCCTAAGCTTGTAAATTCTTGATCAGCACTAATGGAAATATTTATTGGTTGCTAGAGAATTCCGAAAATCAACTTATTTTCCTTAACATGTAAATGAATAATTTAATAATACTGCAAATTAATTGCATAAGGGATACAGTTGATCGCGTCATGAAAAGTATTAATATTTGTTTATATACCTGAGATCTTTTTACATAAAAATAAATTGAAATGCATGATTTTTCCGAGTGTAGAAATGGCCAGTCAGCCGTGCGGGTGGTAGGTAACGATGACTCTGAAAAAAACACCGAAAGCGGAGTAACAAACTGAAGCAGAAAGGGGGTTCACCTGCATCTCGATGAACAATGCACTCTCTCACTTTCACCGCTCACCCCAATCAATGTCATATTAGATTCACGCTTCCATATTTCAGGCTTGTCGACAGATAACCTTTTGACGGTAGCCACCTGTGATGACCTCTTATCCTGTTACCCGTAAAGAAGCTGAATTATTAGCCTCCTAGCTGTCGACCTTATCGATAAGACATCTCAAGATACTCCTGAAAAAGGGAAACTCTGTCACGCTAATTGGAGTTCCTATATAACGCATCCATTCTAAAGTAAAAATATTTAAATTAAACTACATTCAAACATAAACTTATTTATTTAAAAATATTTAAATATTTAAAAAAAACAAGAAAAAAAATAAAATAACTCCAATTTTATTTTTCTATTAAAAACTATAAGGCTATGTCAATTTTCCGATAAATTTTACTACCGTTCCTGTAGCAGATATATGATATTTCATATAATTATAGTCGTTCGATGTTCATAAATGTGAACCATATTTATACAATTGTTGAAAATGACTCAGAGCATATCTGTATATGTTAGTAAACCAAAAAACTGTTTTTTAGGGTAAGAAATAATTCTTTTTATGCGAAGGCACATTTGGACAAATACAATATACCAATTTACTCTACGCACAACTGCTATACAAATATCATCCACAAAATGAAAAAGAGTCCAGCCAATCCCAAAATTAAACGACAAAAAGAATAAATACAATAAAATGGTAAAGTAATTTCGCCATGCCGAAAAAATGAAATAGATTTCTTCAGACCAAGTTCTAATTCCGGACCCAGTTTTGTGTGCCAGTAATGCGTCGTTAAACTGCAAAAGTCCGTAAAAAAGCGAACCATAAAGAAATGAGTGAGTAAAGAATGGAACAGTGAGTCCAAACGATTTTCGGACACAAATGAACGGGGCGCAGGCGAGTAAATCATTTTACAATGGGCCATAGGCCGCCAACGGCTTTATGGCTCTCATGAAGGACAATCAAGTAATAGCCGGCGATTTTTATGACAACACAGAACTACATAATAAAAGATATATCAGCTACTGTCCGTCCGTCCGTCCATTTGACCAGTTGAAGGCGGCTCCGGGATTCAACAAGCTCCGCCTAATGCCTAAATCGTTACATTTGGCACGCCAATGTCCACGATGCATGTGGACAATCACTCATCCGCCAGTTGGACTCTGGACTCCTCCGACGTATTTCAATTTTCCATCCCTGTGTTTCTGTCAGTATATGGAAATTGACACACAACACGCACAACATCCTGTCAGTCCTGTAAAGTTATGCATAAAATAAGACCTCAAAATCACACGCCGTTGTGAATAACATTGGGAAATATTTATCCAAGACCTTGATATAAAAATGTATTCAAATTCCGAGGGTAGTAGCACGAATTTTTATTAGTGCAAGCCTTTTTAAAAAACATTTTATTAATATTTTTCATCATTATTTTGGCTGTGCGTCCTATTTTAGCTAAGTTAGAACATAAAAGCCCTTTAAAAATTTGATATGGTTGTTTTCTTAAATCCACGGGAAATAAATGTTGGAATGATGTACTTCGTTGAATTTAATTTAATATTCGCAATCGATTGGCTCTCACAGCTAAAAATGTTAATAAATGGCCAGTTTTCGCCAAAAATCATGATGTAACCCCTTATAAACAATAAAGAAAAATCAATAAAAAAATAATTTTTACAAATCAAACCGGAATGAATAGCATAGGACCTCAAACTAAAATAGTTCCTTTTTTGACAATTTTTGTATTTTTCCTAATGCTATTTTTTTTAAACTGGGGTATAATGAACATTTTTAGCTGCGAACGCAAATCGATGTATGTAAATCCAATGTATATAAAAGATGGGCTAAAATGGCATAGTTCAGAAAGTCTTTAACGAACAAAGTTCCAATTTGGCTAGATCATTCAAAGAATCGCTTCAATTTGGAATGGACTTTTCAATTTGTCACTTGGTTGGACAGAAGGGCTTTAATGTTCTTGGTTTCGGGGGAAAACCTTTGGCCGACTTGATTGACAGTAATGACATTTTCACGATTCGCCGGGCGGAAAACACTGAAAAGCAGCGCGCTAGCACGACAACGGCAAACCAACAGCCAGCAGTCAATAATAAAAATTGCATGTTGAGAACACATTTGGGATTCCGATTCCGAATCCGATTCCGAAAGTCACACACATCCATTCTGCCATGAGGCGTCTCCATCGCAGCGGAAGCAACAGCGAGTGGAGCGGTTGACACCCCGGGCTCGGTGGAATCGGATTCGGGATGGGAACCGGAATGGGAGTCGGAATGGGAATGGGAATCCGGGAACCCTTTTGTGGCCCCCTCAGGGTCGGGGCTTTCCAGTTAATTTATTTTTGGTTAATTCCTTTCGTTAGTTATGTTAGTGCCGCCCGCTTTCCCAGGAAAACCCATGGCCTCTCATTTATTGCACATTGGCAGGAACTTTGTGATTTACTTAACTACAGTGAGCAAAATAATCGGGACAAGGGTACGCTAAAGGATAATATATGACAGGGGCTTGGTATATACATGGTATTACTTAGGTGGTGGAACATATATACAATGAACAATAATACAAAGTTACCTTAACTATATTTCAAATAAACATATCTCTTGTAAATTTCCCAATGATCAAGACTAACATCGTTTATTGGAACTAAAAAAGCAGTATTATCATTATTTTTTAACAATATTACTTACTTAGGTGGTGACACTTATAAGCAATGAACAATAACTCCAAGTTACCTTGGCTATATTTCAAATAAACCTATTTGTGATATACATTCAAAAACTTAAATTTCCTAATGATTAAGACTAACATCGTTTTTTTTGGAACTAAATAAAGCTATGTTATCATTATTCTTTCTAAGCAATATGGTATATAAACCATTACTTTGGTACTCTATACTCCTGCTCACCATATAAAATAGATGTTTCAGGAATAGAGAATAAAACTTGTACACTGTCAAATGCCATAAAAAAAGCAAACAATATAAAATTGACTGGCTCTGCCCAACTGGATCCCCCGAAAAAAATCAAATAGGGCTTGAAAAAATAAAATAATATATATATTAGCAATAATTCGAAACATCAATTTTTTTATTGCCGCTCGCAATCATTTAATCATCTCGAGTCATCAGTTCACTCTGGCCAGAAACGCGATGCTGTGTGGCAGGAACTGGGTGACGTAGTGCGTCGGGCGGTGATTGGTGGCATGGTGCGGTGTGGTGTCGAGTGGTGCGGAGTGCTCTGCCGAAGGAGCCAGGCCCAGGCAGTGGGAATAGCAAATTTTACCGCGCTTCCCCATCGACCATTTGACACATGTGTCACTTGCAACCGTTCCGCTTGCTAGCAACGGAGCAGTAGTGCTGCCAAATCAGCAGTTTTATAGTCAAATATAGCTTATTTGGAGTTGTTCAAAAAAAACCGAATTAAGAATTTTATTTTTAAAATACCACTAGGTCAGTATACTATTTAGTTTTCAATTTTCTTTAATATGTTAGATTTATTTTTCAATATTTATTCGTTTACCAATGGGAATAATTTCTAGGTACTTTGTGTACAAGTGAAAAACTAGATTTATTTGTGATGATTATAGTTGAAAATCACAGCAGTCCTTTAAAAATAAAATTCTCAAACAACGTTTATTTTCGCCCAAAGTTGAAAGCCCATTTTCTGGATGTATATTATTGTAGTATTTTTCAAGTTATCTGTCAATATACTTGTTTGAATTAATATTCTATTCTATTTTCATCGATGGTACTTTTAAAAATTTAACAACATTTCGAAGGACTTTTACCAATATTGTTAATTCTTAAGGGTTTTTTTTTGAGCCCTTCTTGAACCAATGTATTATCTTAGTAAATGGAATATTCCGAATTCTATGTTTAATATTGTTCAATATGCGTATACCGTAACTTACATTACCAACCTATTAAGAATTATTTATTTAACTAGTTTCCATAATTAATACTTATAAAGATCATAGTTCTATGATGCTTACAACTATTAATTATGACACCTACTCAGTTTAAAAATTAATTATATACATTATATATTTGATTGAACTAAAATAAATTTTTTTTTTAACAAAAAAAGCAAGACAGCACTGACGAACAAGAATGGGACTCCGAATGGGCCTGTGAGTGCGACTGGAGCTGTCGCTGAGCCTTCGGTTGACAGCTGTCAGTGTCAGTTTACATAATTTATAGATTTCAGCGCATAAAAAAGTCATAAAATTTACAATGTTGCTTTCAACAAAAACACATTCGGGCGATTCTTCTGATGCCTTATTTTTATGAGGCAAGACATCAATTTTCGCACAGCACAGTCTAGCCTGCCTACAGCCACCACTACACACACACACTACCACACTCGCCCATTTATATTTCTCAATTTTCCATTCTTCGTAGCAGGAGGAAAAGATTGTTTGTATTGCCATTGCCATTGCCATTCGAAATGCTTTTGATTTATTTGTATTTATGTGATTCCTTTCTCATATTCAGCTCCAGCGATAAATTCTCGCACTCAACAAAATACATAAACGATTTATAGTTGCAAAAAGCGGGCCAAACAATAACTAACAAAGCGCAGCGACAGCACCAACAATGGATTCGAAGACCCAAAAGGAGCTCAAAATGGAAAAGAAGAAAGGATTTCGATGCTAAATCCCTCAACGCAGCATAAATCTTAAATGGAAAACCTTTCGCACTTTTAGCTGCTGTAGGTGATGAAACCGTGGCAGGAAATGCTGGAGTTTTCATGTGAAAAAAAAACAAATGTCTTGGCATTTTCCCATTGGCATTCTTTGAAATCTAAAAATCAATTATTTGTTTAATTAAACATTGATATAAAAATGTAAAACAATTATTTCTTTTTAAAACAGCAGCAAGTGTAACCATTTTTACAGTAGAATAAAAATACATTAATTTAAAATAGAACCAAATCAAAAAAACTACTGTCTTTATGTGCCTAAAATAATAAAATACATATTTATTTAGGTTTAAACTGTAAAACCTATACTTATTGGTTAAATAACTATGTTTCACTAACTTGAATGTTTCTTTTTTAAAAAATAAATTCCTCTTGCCCATTAGTGCAAAATTTGAAAGTATTATAAAAGGCATCACACGAATTTTAAAAAAAATGTATAGAGACGGCGGGGAATATACAATAAACGAAATCAAACAATTCATAAAATATATCTACCTAAACAGTCCAGTCGAAAATTGGACGCATTTGAAAGTATTGGAGATTTGAGTATTGTAATCGGTAAGATAGTTTAGGTATTCGCTGCGGACTTACCCCATATTTGTTTGCAGAAGCGCAGTGAAAATGCCAGAGGAAGTTGCTGAAAAGGATAGGCCGTCCTATTCGTTCTTCTTTGGATCGATGGGAGCGGCATCGGCCATCATTTTCTCGGCCTTGGGAGCAGCTTATGGAACTGCCAAGTCGGGAACCGGAATCGCAGCCATGGCCGTGATGCGACCCGAGCTGATCATGAAGTCGATCATTCCGGTGGTGATGGCCGGCATCATTGCGATCTACGGCCTGGTTGTCTCCGTTTTGATTGCCGGTTCTTTGTCGGACACCTATACCATTCGCAAGGGGTATATCCACCTGGCCGCAGGACTTTCCGTTGGATTTTCTGGACTGGCGGCGGGCTTTGCCATCGGCATTGTCGGAGATGCGGGGGTGCGGGGCACCGCCCAGCAGCCCCGCCTCTTTGTGGGCATGATCCTGATCCTGATCTTCGCCGAGGTCCTGGGACTCTACGGACTGATTGTCGCCATTTACCTGTACACCAAGTGAAAACAATCTTTATTGCCTTTAAATAATACCACATATTTTATATATGTGGACCAATTATTTATACTTTGTTATATTTTTATAGCCTTGCAGAGGGTAATTTAATTTAATTTGCAACACAGTGAAGGAGGCATTTCCGACCCTATAAAGTATATATATTCTTAATCAGCATCACCAGGAGAGTCGATCTAGCCATGTTCGTCTGACTGTCCGTTTCTACGCAAACAAACCCCTCATTTAAAGCAATCTGCTTGAAACTTTCCCAAAAGCTGTCTTTCTATTGCAGGTAGTATATGTCGAAACGAGCCGAAAATTCGAAAATCGAAGATCTAAATTTTTACCCATTTTCATGTTAGTTATTTCTATGTTTTCGATGACTTAAAAAAAGGGGTCCAATAATTGGACTTCCAGATTCCATAACTTTACCAAATTTAATCCGATTTCAAAGTGGCATACCTCTAAAGAATTGTGGTTCGATTCTCTGAAAATCTGCATTCAAAATTTTCATTTTAACGTTGATCAAAATTTTGACCCATTTTTATGTTAGTTATTTCTAAGTTTTCGATGACTTAAAAAAAGGGGTCCAATAATTGGACTTCCAGATTCCATAACTTTACCAAATTTAATCCGATTTCAAAGTGGCATATCTCTAAAGAATTGTGGTTCGATTCTCTGAAAATCTGCATTCAAAATTTTCATTTTAACGTTGATCAAAATTTTGACCCATTTTCATTTAGTTATTTCTAAGTTTTCGATGATTTAAAAAAGGGGTCCAATAATTGGACTTCCAGATTCCATAACTTTACCAAATTTAATCCGATTCCAAAGTGGCATACCTCTAAAGAATTGTGGTTCGATTCTCTGAAAATCTGCATTCAAAATTTTCCAATAATTGGACTTCCAGATTCCATAACTTTTCCAAATTTAATCCGATTTCAAAGTGGCATACCTCTAAAGAATTGTGGTTCGATTCTCTGAAAATCTGCATTCAAAATTTTCATTTTAACGTTGATCAAAATTTTGACCCATTTTCATGTTAGTTATTTCTAAGTTTTCGATGATTTAAACAAGAGAGAACGCTATAGTCGGGTGCCCCGACTATCAGATACCCGTTACTCAGGTAAAGGGAGTGCGAGGGAGATGTAGATAGAAACTTTGATCACGCATAACTATTTAACGAATGGTCCGATTTGAAAAATTTCTTCTACATTTCGATAGGTATTGACAAACACAATAAAACTGCATTTTTACTTTTCCGAAATATTTAAATTTTTAAAATCGTATATAAGCGATTGTGAGCGTTAAAGGGGGCGTGGCACCATTTTGAAACAAACTTGCGCTGCGTAGGAACTTCTAAAATCTACATGCAAAATGCCAATCTTCTAGCTTTTATAGTTTCCGAGATCTCAGCGTTCATACGGACGGACAGACAGACGGACAGACGGACAGACAGACAGACGGACAGACGGACATGGCTATATCGACTCGGCTAGTGACCCTGATCAAGAATATATATACTTTATAGGGTCGGAAACGCTTCCTTCTAGCTGTTACATACTTTTGCACGAATATAATATACCCTTTTACTCTACGAGTAACGGGTATAAAAAGGGGTCCCAATAATTGGACTTCCAGATTCCATAACTTTACCAAATTTAATTCGATTTCAAAGTGGCATATCTCTAAAGAATTGTGTTTTGATTCTCTGAAAGTCTGCATTCAAAATTTTCCTTTTAACGTTGATCAAAATTTTGACCCATTTTCATGTTAGTTATTTCTAAGTTTTCGATGACTTAAAAAAAGGGGTCCAATAATTGGGCTTTCAGATTCCATAACTTTACCAAATTTAATCCGATTCCAAAGTGGCATATCTCTAAAGAATTGTGTTTTGATTCTCTAAAAATCTGCATTCAAAATTTTCATTTTAATGTTGATCAAAATTTTGACCCATTTTCATGTTAGTTATTTCAACGATTATGACAACTTATGACAAAAGGTCACCCACAACTGGACTTCCAGCTATCTGCTTAAAACTTTCGCAAAAGTTGTCTTTGTAATACAGAGATTTGGTAATAAATATAAAATATTATAAAATGATGGTTTTAATTAAATTAAAATCGGACAATATTATCATATAGCTGCCATAGAAAAAATGGCAAAATGCAGCGCAAATTCGAAACAACTGCATTGGTTTTAGTAACATAGGCACAGAAATCGTAATGTAGTCGATTTGTAATACTGCAAGGGTTTATCAACTTCGCCTTGAAGAAGTTGTCTTCCTTTCTTGTTTTAAATAAAAATAAATCCTAAAGAAAAAGGATTCAAAAAATTGTTTCTTTTTGGGAGGGTGATCTAAAAAAGAGATATGTAATATGTAAACGATGTCTGTACACAGTTTTTTCCTTTTTGAGATTTTCAAATACCTCAAATGCCAAATAAGCTGTAAGATAACCTTTGAAATTGATATTTTAACTATGACCTTATATTTTGAAGTAGTTTTATTTACTTCAAACAACAAGTAACAAATTTAGGCAGTGTGTGAAACATAGAATTAAAACAAACCAAAAATAAGTAATGGACTTTTTAAAAGTAGCAGGACTAGAACATTCCGCTTCCCTGGGCAAAAAGCAATCAAGAATCTCGCTCGACAAAAGTCGACTGTGACAAATCTGTGCCAACTTAACAATCACATCACACGGAACGCAAAGCTACTGACTAAGTTACAAGCTCCCCCAAGGAAAATGCGGAATATGTATTCAAAATGCAAAGCAGCCGAGTTGGGGCCACAAATAAAAACGCAATGGCGAAGTGGGGGCAATTGAGGCCCCACAAACAATTCCACGTTTTCCCCTCAGCGGTGGCAACAAATTTCCATTTTAAGGAAACGAAACAGCATTGTTGAGGTGTGGGGACTTGCAAAAGTGTCGCCCTTTTAAGCTCGATAGTCGAGTCGGGCTCATATTTTCCAATTTGTTTAATTGAAACAAGTGGAGGGTAGCGGAAAGAGCGTTGAAAGTCAATGGGGAAAACCACTCAAAGTGAATAAGCAACCGCAGCTTCGATTTTCAATACCAAGAATGGTTTTTGCTGTCCTTCGGGGCTATAAATTTCGCGTAACCCGTAGAAAGCTAGGAACACTTTCATAAATGTGTAAACTTTTTTAGCATAAGGATAAGATTTTGCTTTGAAAACAAAGTTCAAAGACATTTGAAAAAGCTACAAAAAACATCAGCAAGCAATTTTAAATTAGAAAAAGCAGACAAGTTCATAATAAATAAAAACTGACCAAAAACTATTCTTAATGAAACTGTATTATTGAAAAGCATATGCTTATATGCATGCTTCATTCATACTACAGATAATTTTGAAATCATGTATTATCTTCTAAAAGTTTCTGTAAAATATAAAATATATATTTTAAAAAAAAGAAGCTATTATTTCCAAATAATTTATTCATTTTTGGAAGAAATCTCTAAGATTCTGGTTGAGATGTTTTTTTTTCGCCTTTTGAATTTTCGATTCAAAAGTTAAAACGTGCTCAAAGAAAAACAAAAAATTTCAAAGAATAAATAAAACAAAAAATAATTTATAAAAATAAAATTAACAATACATAGATTTTAAAAGTATTAAATATGGACTTGGGAAATCTCATAGGATTTTAAAATATTTCTGTGTTACTCACCAAAAAATCTAAGAAAGCATTGTGACTTACTTCAATCTCGCATACAAGTAGATTAATAATTGGATTGGGAAGATACGAAAATACGAATAAGCCAAGATGGTTACCGCCGCAGAGGAGGAACATTACCCCGACTACGCGGTTTTCATGGGATGCACTGGTGCTGCCTTCGCGATTATATTCACCACTTTGGGAGCTTCGTACGGAACGGCAGTATCCGGGATTGGGATTGCCAATATGGCTGTGAACCGACCGGATATGATCATGAAGTCCATAATTCCGGTGGTGATGGCCGGCATCATTGCGATCTACGGCTTGGTGGTTTCGGTGCTGATTTCCGGATCGATTGGCGACGAGTACACTGCGGAAATGGGTTATGTCCACCTGGGCGCCGGCTTAAGCGTTGGATTGCCTGGACTCACCGCCGGAATAGCCATCGGAATCGCAGGAGACGCCGGAGTACGGGGAACCGCCGAACAGCCACGACTTTTCGTCGGCATGATCCTGATCCTGATCTTCGCCGAGGTACTGGCTCTCTACGGTCTCATCGTGGCTATATACTTGTACACTAAACTTTAACTATCTGTTTTATTTTTGTCGAAATAATAGTCAATTATTAAACATGCATTTCTACTGTTTCGTTTTGCCAGGGAAAGCATAAGAATGGTAATTATATTAAATCCTAGTAATAGAGGAAGATAAAAATAGTATTAAATATTTAAAAGATTTTTTTTATAAGAAAATAATGAATATTGTATATTATCATTAATGATATTATTGTAATAAAAAAAAAACAGCTAAAATGATCCACATAGCATATGCAGAATATTGCATATATAAACAAATACTTCTTATTTCATTTAATTGCTTTATGGCGTCACTTAAATTAATAAAAAAGAAATGAAAATGTCAATGCAAAGTGAAATGAGCTTTATTTCAGGTTATTTGGCATATACGGTTATGTGTTAATTAAATGAAATTCACCTACTTTCCATCAAACAGCAATCCAATCAACAGGGTAGAATGAAAAGAATATCATTTTTTATCACAAGGTGTTGATATGTAAAAAGGTATGCGTATTGCGTTTCAATTTACATTTCATTCGCAAGCAAATAATACGTTTTGTGTACGCACGTGTGTCATTTTCGGCAATTCTCATCGAACCGAAGTGTGTTTGCATAATAAATATGATAACACAAAATATCGATTCGATTTAACCGCAAATCCCTTGAGCCCCCAACATCGAAAGTAATAAACGAAAATTTGCAATTTACTTACGGATTCGGAGGATTTATGGTTCACCTTCCTGCAGATAATTGTTTTCACTTCCTCTGCCATTCAATGAACTTTTAATGTTGAAATAACAGTAAATGCGTGAGTGGGTGGTTTGGTGGTCTTAATACCCAAAAACGGAAGCAGTACCGCCCACTCTCAAGGCCCCGCCCCCTTTTTCCCATCGCCCAACTGACAAAGTGCTTAGCGAAATGGGTTTATTAAGTGCAAACACTTTGCACAAATGGCTGGCAAACATAAATAAATATGTATTTTGGGAAGTAATGGGCGGGTGGGATTGAATGCCTCCTTAGGAATTAAATCTAAAGAATGCCTTGGCCATCATCAAATATCATCAATGTGCCATTTATGTTGCAGGAAACCGAACATCATTTTCAAATAATTACATTATTATTTATTCACCTCTATTTCGACAATTAAAGTAGTCCTAAAAACACAAACATTCAATAAATATTAAATAGAATTTCATTTATTTGAGTAATGGTCGAGGAAATCAAATCATTCTTATACAAATGCGGAACGACCTCCACAGAAATCAAATATAAATCAAGAAGCGGTTTGTCAAATCCGCAGACTTGCCCAAAACTTGTGCTGTCATACATCAAACGTACATCAATATGAGGGACTTATGTTTTGAGGAAAATGAAGAAACCATTTGTAAGCTGGTGCTGGTTATGCTCGAGGACCGCCAATTTATTATGGCCGAAAATGTGGTTTCCATTAAAGCCACACACACATCAATTGTGGTGAAACGGGGCTGGACAGAGGCCATTCGACTTTAATTTTAATGTCCCTGACAGATTTTCCCATTTGCCTCCCATTTGGAATCTTTATTCATTCATTCATTCAAGCAAACACTCATTGAATAACTTGCTCGTTGTCAGCCGCTTTGCTATACCATCACCATTATGATCAGCTTTATATGATTCGGGGTATTAATGTAGCCCCTATGGAATAATGGAATCGTTGAAAAGTCTGGCCCGCTGAAAAAGAAATTGAGAATTTGAACAATAGAATTTAATCTTTTATTACAAACATCCCTAAAAACGACTTTTATTAATATTAAATAATCTTGTAAGATAGATATGTTTGAATACCAAGCCTATTGTTAAATTCATATATATTTTGTTAACAGTATTTTTTGCAAAGAGTAACTATGATTCGACTTCTTAGAGACATTTGCCCCCAATGGACTAATTTCATTTTCGTATTTCTGTGGCTGAGTATCCAATGATTTGGAAACAATTTATATATTGTGTATATGGTTGGGGCTTGGAACTGGGGATGGTTATATTATGCTGTGCGACAAGGACATTTATTTCTTGCTGATTTAATTTTCGGATTCCGACCGACCCCAACCGCTGCTCTCAATAAATACGAAATAAACACTAAATGTGTAGTTGGTTGCCTTCGCTTTTCCGCCCTTCTCTTTCTGTGTTTTTTTCTATATATATATATATTTTTTTTTTTTTTGGCTGATTGAAGCTTTTCCTGTTGGCAACACCTCAGAGGACTGACTTTTGTCCTTTGCCCGTGGCATGTTTGTCCTTTGCCTTTCCGATTCCACGCCCCCGCATTCCGTATTCCTTATTCTGAATCCCAAACCCCACTCCCACTTCCATTTCCACACCCATTGCCAATTCCATTCCCCTTCCATTCATCAGCGCGTGCTTGTGTTGTGTTGTTTCCTTTGCATTGAATTATTTTCCTCCTGTCTCTTTGGCGTCGCACAATTTCCCCCGTCTCCAGTTTTCCTCCTGACCTCTGATATCGTCCGACTCGCTTTTCATATCTGCCGCTTTTTTCTGGGCGTGTTGAAGCGATGTGTTAAATATCTGCCAAATGAAATCGCAATGGCAACCAGCAGGTGGGCGTCGAACTTGTTTAAGTTCCGGAAGACAAACACGAGCCGAATATTTCAGATGTAAATCCAAAACTTAAGGCTAATGCCTGAGATATTTTCTGCATTTTAAGTGATTGAAATACTATATTAATTTATTTGGATTTTGCCTTGTTACATTTTTCGTACTGTCTAATAATAGTTAAATAAATATTGATTTTTATTTACTTTACTTTTAATTTGTATAATTGTTAAAATTGTTGCTAAATTGATAAATCTAATTACAGTCTTTAAAAGCTGAAGTAGTGTGCCAGAAGTTCGACAAAAGACGATTTTATGAATCACGATTTTTTTTTTTGTTTTTTTTAACGACAAAACAATTCAAGTATCTTTTGTAAAGGACTTAAAGAATTTTGTTTTGTCCCAGGATTTCACAATGAAAAAGGTCACTGGTCAGACTCGGCAATAGTCGAACTCAGCAAACAAACGCTAAGGGTGTCACAAATTGAGCAAACCAAAATATTGTCGTTTTTTATGTCAATTCTAGGTTTTTTTAAATTTCAAAATCAAGAAAGCCTTTTTATTGCCCAAGCTGGCTTGGCTTTTTTTTTAAATTATCAACTTAACTGAATTTATTTCAGCAGTCAGCTACTTTTAAAAATATAAGAATAATGATAGGATTTAGAAACAAGACAGAATTTGCAAATGGATTTTGGTAACTTCAACAAATTATTTAATAGTTAACTAAAATTAAAGATTTTACATATGTCTTGATAAAAATTAATTTGAATAAAATTATATATGTAATAAGAAGTGCAAGCTGAAAGATTACAGGACTTTGTAAAACCCTCGAAAAATATACCAGTTCAATTTTAAGAAACATTTTAAAATGTAAAGATTACCAGCAAAAAAAGTTTTAGAGTTAGTTTTTTTTCCACCATGCGATTTAACTTCTTTTTGTGAAGACCCTTAAACAGTTGAACCGCTTGAGAGCAAAATTTGCAGTGAAGACAGTCAATCCGCGGCATTTCCCTCAAAATCAAATTTATTTGCCAGCCACACAGAAATTATGAGGGAATCGAGTGCGGGATCGAGGGAAGTCCACATGTGCGTTTTATTGCATTCGGTATGGGTTCGCATTACGTGGGTCCTTCGGATAGTGAACCCCCCTCTATAACCCCCCCCCCCCTCCTCCGCTATAACTATTAAGGTTGTCAACGCCCCACAATCTCCAACAGACAATGGGTGGATGGCTTTTGTACGTTCGAGTATTTTTATTCATTCTATTCCGTTGGCTTTTTATTTTATTTATTTATTTCGCTCGCCGCTTGTCCACCCTCCGACGCATTTGAACAGAAATAAGATTTTTATTTTATGCTCACAGTATGTTGTAAATCTTGTCGCTGCTGCTGATGAAACGAAACGAAATTAAGAAATTTTTTTTTTATTTCTCCTTCGCAATTTCAGTAATAAAAGAAATGCCAAACGGGATGACGACGAGGACAGGACGAAGACAGTGGGTTGTGCGTTGGTTTCTAGGCGAGGCGAATGACTTCCTGCCCATCCCGACATTCATTATGAAATCATTTGGTATTTATTATTTCGTTTATGTGGTTCCATTTGAGATATTGCCTTCATTTGCCGCGTTGTTAGTGGCGACCGTAGAGGAAGCTGCCAGCAGGAATCATCAGAGGATAGGCTTCCGAAATTTTGAACTCTTAAAGATGTGAGTAAAAGGTATTTTAAATAAAAAAAAACCTTAGGAAAATATTCTGGAATTTGTAAGCATTTAAAATATTTAACTAAGACTAAATTGTTTAATTAAATAAGTATAGATTTTAATCACACATAGAGTCATCAATTTTTTGAATATCAAAACCAAGGCCTTTATGTTGTTTGAATTCTCAATACATCAATATTAAAATTTTGACTTAAAAAATATTGAACTGAACAAAATAAACCTTATACTTAAGTGACTTATCAATTGATAAATGTTTACTGATTGTAATTATTTGATTTAAGTTATAAGAATACCTATCAAACTGTTTGCTAAGTGTACTCCACCTTGAATGAACTACATTCTGATGTTCAAATGCATACTCTCGAATCGGATGTTAATTCAGGAAAACTACGGGGTTATCCTGCATTCACAGGGGAATTCCCCCCTCCCTCTTTTCCCCCATCAATCTTACAAAATCCCGCATTCCCAGCTCTTAACCCTTTTCCTCGTCCATTAACCCATATTCTAGCAACCCCACTATGCGCAGGGATCAGTCTAAATGTTTTTGTGTAAACACGAAAGTTCGACCAAGGGCTCCATCGTCCTTGCTTATCCTCCCAGTGAGCCACCCACCCACCGCCCCCTCATCTACCAACTGCGTGGGGGGTGGTGGTGGGTGGTCACAGTGCTCGGTAATTGTGTGCGCCTTTGTTGCCGTTGCAGCTTTTGCACTTTACTTCCTTCTTCGGGCTTTGTTTTTCGCACAGTGAGCAGAATAAGTGTACGGTTCTGCAACTGGGAGGGATTGGCAGTATTTTGCAGAGATGCCAAATCTGGAGGGAAAAAGTCTACTAGTTTCTAATTACCCATCTAGATTTATGAGAGCATTGAAAAGTTTCTTGGATATTACTAACCAAATCTTTTGGTTTTTTTTAATATTAAATTTGTTAAAGATTCAAAAACATTATAGTCAGTCAACATAAAAATGATATTTATTTTATGAATATGGCATAAATAAAGTGTATAACATTTATTTTTATCTACAACGATTTTGTATTTCAATACTGAAATATTTAAATCATTTGTTATTTGTTAGGAACAAAACATAGTCAAAAACAATGAATATTTAACATTCCAATTTAGCAGAAAAAATTCTTAAGGCAGTAATTTTCGGTTTTCTTGAAAATAAGCAATACAAAAACTGTTAAATACTTTTTATCAAAAATGTATCAAGTTATGTAATTCAATCAGTTTAGGGGTCTATTTATTACTATTATTGTAAGTTTTTTTTACTATAATTTATATAAACTCAACTATGGTTTTATTTTCAAATAAATTTATATTAATTTATGATATTGGCCGGAATTTCAAGATATGCACCATTATACCTTTATATATAAAATAGGTTGATTTTCCGGGTTTTTCTAGGAGGCCACTGACATCACTGTTTGTCGGATCCGGGTGTTTGAACGGCGGACAGCTTCGGCTAGCTACTTGTCCGGACTTTGCTTGCTTTCCGTTTTGTTGGCGCTCCCTTTGTTGCTGCCTTACACAATGACTTAAGCTGAAATGTCAATTGGATGTGCATGGCACGACCAGAATCGGGAGCTGGAATGGGACCAGGAGCGGCAGCAGGACTGTGATGAGGACCAGGACGAGGACGAGGACCAGGGCCAGAAATGAAAATGATGAAAATACACCCCCGGGGAAACGGCTAACGTAACGCTGGAAAAGTGCTTGTGACAGCAGCCTGACCCATTCCGCCGACCAACTCCATCTGGGAACCAAAGCACAGAAAATCCTTTCTTGAGCTAATAGAATTCAAACGCATGAAGGCTTTGAATAGGTTCGTTTTCGAAGGACGACGCATTGACGCTGAGCCCTGGCCATGCCATTTTCCGAGCGGAAAGTGGTCGGAGGTGGAAAAGTGAAAGTACGTGACATTACACTGCCCTGCGAAGGCGAGGGTTTCTCAAAAAGCCGTATCAAATGCTTACGCTAACTGAAACGGAATTTAACATTTAGCTATGCATTCACAGCAAGCTTTAGAATAATGCAAAAGTGAATTAGATTTGATAAATACCATATGATTAGGGTTTAAATACAAAGCATTGAATTGGGGAAACGAAAACAATCAACAAATGTATATTGTTTTGAGAGGTTGTCATTAAAACAATTGCAAAGACGAATTTTAACCAGTTTAGTTATTTGTAAAATACTATACTAGTATAAGTCCCTTTAATTTGATATCAGTCCCAATATTTTTTCATTCCGATATTTAGTTTAAATCAAGTCTTTAGGTTTTCTAAGCTTATTTAAATGTAATTCGCTTTCAATTTTAGCCCTTTCTTGTAAATGTTTGTAAGTATTAAAGGGAACTAATAGATATGCAATACACATTTAAATAAGTATGATAAAGAATAAGAAATAAATTACATTTAAAATTGTATCCCCAAGATCAAGCCAAACAATTGTTCATAAACATCTCATTTATGTACACAATTTCATGAATTTTTGTAGAGGAATATATTTGAGATGCACGAACCATTCAAACTCTTTAAAATAAAGGTGAAAAATAATGTATTTTTAGAGCCACCCTCGCTCGTTTCGGAAAGATGTCTTTGACGTGGCCGGAGCAGGTCGGAAACTGGAGCTGAAGCTGAAGCCAGTCCAGAATGGGAGGACTTCAGTGGAGCCATCCTGTGTATAGTTTGTTTCATAAGTTTTGCAAAAACCATTAACGGCGCTACACAGCTTCCCCGCACAAGGCTTCTTCCCTCAGCTTGCTCGTCTAAATTGAAAAGAAAAAAGTGAAAAGCTGAAAACTTTTAAAAGTTTGAATTCTCAGCGCTTTCTTTCGGACCTCCTGGATACTTTGGCGCTGCTCATTTGGTCAGCAACACGCGTTCAGGGGCTTGTCCACTTTTTGACGTGACTCGGACCTTAAGAAAATTGGCAACGAAAAAAAAAAATGGTATTCGCTTTCTCGTCTCAGCATTTTCTGGTCCAGCTAATGGCTGTGAAAATGACTAAGTGAATTTCCATCAAGGAGAGTGGGATTTTGAATTCTGTAAGGCAGCTGGGTCAAGCCATTAAACAGAAACTAAAGTGGCATGACATTTTAAATTTAACAAGGGGGGATTTTACTTTTTTTTTTTTAGCAAATTTAATTTATTATAAAGAAATATAATAAAGTTAGCAAAGGAAAAGGATTTTTTTAACTGTGTGCATTTAATTTAAATATTTTAATTTGTTTACTTTGGAGTTGATAAATTATACTTAGAATTTTAGATATACAATGAAAGTAATAGATACATATGTATATATATATATTTATTAAATGATGGGCTCAGTTGTCCCTGTTTGTATGCGGTCGTCCATAATATTATTACCCAGTCGATAAGAGGGGGTGTCTTGACAACTGTGGGAACCCCGCAAAATGGTACATACATTGCACTTAATTCCCGACCAAGCTAAATAATGAAACGGATTGCGGTTTGGGTTCGCCTTTGTCTCCGTCATGGGGAATGGATAATACGTTATGGAGTGGACGGTCGGTGCTATTTGATTTCTGCATTATTCAGGTAAAGGGCTCAATTAAATGGGCGTTGCAGTAATTTCACTGCATTGTCATTAGATTCTTGCCCTGTTTGAATTTCCAAGTGAATATCGATTCCGTTAGAAGCTAAATAATTGCTAAACTCAATGTAAAAAGTATGTTTAGAGTGGGTAAATATAAAAATATATACACAACATAAAACACTTTTTATTTTTATAAAAAACTATTGATTAAAATGTCTAAGATTTTAGGATGAACCATATATATTCTCTACAATGCTCCTTAAAATTTAAATTACTGGCAAAGTGAACTTCGAAGTTTCTTTAGGATATTTATTCTACAGGAAACAAATTGTCATTTTATCCTGAAAGTAGTTTATCTAAATAATTGCTAAACTCAGTGTAAGAAGTATGTTTAGAGTATATGAATACACAACATATCACCATTTTTAAAATTCGAAACTTAGACCGATTCTAAGATTTTAAGTTGAACCATATATACTCCTTACATTGCTCCTTAAAATTTAAATAACTGGCAAAGTGAACGTAGAAGTTTCTTTAGAATATTTTCCTGCAGGAAACAAATTGTCATTTTATCCCGAAAGTAGTTTATTTAAATGTCCCAGCTCGTATTCCGAATTATTAAAATAAATTTGTAATTCAAAAAGCTTGCAATAAATTTGGCCACCCGCAAACATGTCGCGGCAGAATTGCGGCAAGCTGCGAAACAGCCAAATATAAATAGGTTGTGGGTTGCGACAGGAGGAATAGGGATTCCGTGGGGTTAGTCCTGGGTGGAAAATGTGGATGGGGTTGCTGGGCCGCTGATGTGTGCTTGTCGTCGGCACGGCAAAGTACTTGAAAAATTACACACAATGCATGCATTATTCATGCTTACTTCAGAATTTGCGTTACAAAGTAAAAAATGTTGTAAGGACACTTGTGCCATGCCAGGCGAGTCCTCGTAAAGGCAAGCAATCCCGGCGAATGTGGAGAGCGGCCAAAACACGAGGAGGAAGTGTGAATGGGAAAGCCGGGCTAAGGAGCACTCGTCGCCCCAAAAGGAAAAGTGCAAAATATTCGAGGTAAGCGCAAAACGCAAAGCGCACAGACCGCTGATAGATTAGAGTTGCTGGTCGTTGGGCTTGTCGGGATACACTTCGAAAAATAAGGTTTTATTAGTCAGTACAAAAATACATTAATAAAATCTTAAGCCATTTAAAATGTTGTAAAACTTAAAATTACTTTTCTAAAGTTATAACATTTAAAATGATTACTCCATACTATTTAATAGCAATATAAAATGTACTTTAAAAAAAAAATGTTAGATAAAAAAGCTATAAATCGTATAACTCTTACAAGAGCTTCCTCATATAAAATGTTAAGTGTCTATAAAAAATCTCTTAAGATAACCTTTAAAAATCTGATCATTTTAGAGTCGAGTATTAAAAGTATTATTAAAATTGTAGAAGTGTTCAGCATTCTGTCTCTTCAATCAGTGGAAGATTTGATCATGGACCACACGTTCGATCCCATCCAGATTTCGCTCTTCATCATCGCTGATGTCGCTATTCTCCTGCAAATTGACTTTTTGCTTTACATAGATCCGATCCCTAAGAAATCCTTTAAGACTGACGTGTTTCCCATGTCGATAGTCGTCTAACTTAGCAAACATTTCGTGGTTGGGCTTCATGAATCGGTATTCGCCAAAGTCCAGCGGATAAATAATGGCCAATGACTTAACGATGCTGATGTAGACGGTGCGTCCAGACATGTGATCATCCATGGAGCTATATGGAAATTTTAGGGTCAATATGAACTGATAAATCAGGTCTGAGGATTTGGAGGTGGCTCTAAAGAAGATCTGTCCTTCCTGCAGCATAGCCTTGTACTCGTGATCATCTTCGGGTAGGCACACCTGTAACTCCAAGGTAGTTACACTCTGATGATAGGTAACCTCCGGTCGCACCACATTGGGATGGGTTTGTAATGGAATCTCCTCCTTGAATTTGGCCTTCTTTGCCTTGCTTTTCTTTTTGGATTTCTGGTTAAGTGGAGGAAGATCACCCCCCGTGCTGCCTCCTCTTATTACATTATCAAGAAATTCAACTGGATTGTTTGCGACCAGATTGGTATCCTTCACCGATAGCTTGTTATCCTGAAATTGCAACATGGCGCAGTTCATCATGCACTTGTAAAGCTGGTTCATGCCGTCTTCTTTGATTTCAGTCATTGAATTTTCCTTGTTTTCTGGGGAAGAGATCTCCATTTGGTTACTTGATTTTAAAGACATTGTTGACTTGGTCTTCTGCTCGTTCTCCTCAGCCATCTCGCGTGCTAATTGTATCAGACGTAAGCATCTTGGGGGCAGAAGTTGGGTGTTTTGAAGCTGGGAACATTCATTGTCTACTAAATTATTATCCAGTTTTCTTGGTGTGTTTTTTTGGGTCTGCTCATTGGTCTCCTTGTTCTCCTCAATTAGTATTTTCGTCACTTTCTTCTCTACTTCCTGCTGCACTGCTTCATCTTTGGTTAAGTTTTCCTCAAAGAAATCTTTGATCTTTAGTTTAGCCTGCTCACATCTGCGGGCCAAGTTTTTCTGGATAAGCTTTTGGCCAAGACTCAAATGCCTTACGTGTACCTTGAAATTGTCCGCATACATCATGGCCACTAGATCATGGACAAACAGGGTTTTTGCAGTGGCGAACTGAATGTTGGCCTGCAGGAAGTGATTCTTGGGTATTTTGGTCAGCAAAATCTCGACATGGAGGCGATCTTCCTCTGTCCAGCTGCTTTCCCCGGACTTCGGAATCATTCCGAGCAATCGCATATCAATGGCCATCGGTGGCTCCTGCTGCACAGCCTTGGAGCACTCGAAAAGTCCTCCGGATTTGGTCACCAAGATTCGAGTGTCCACATCGAGCGCCTGCACTTCCACAGATAGATTGGATTGCAGTATATTTACATCCTCAATAGGATCCACCTTGAGCACTTGGACGCGCTCTTTGTCATCCATGGTGTGGAGCATGCAGATGGCTCCTGCCACTGGAGGCCAGTAGCGTTTGGGATCCATCTCCTGGCGAAGCTTCAGTCGCATCTCCTGCACCGCCAAGTGGGGCAGCACTTTCCAGGTTCCCCTGATCGGCAAGTGCTCCTGGAGACGCACGCAAAAGTGCGTGGGAGAGTAGACGCGGACCAGCTCAACCTTCACATCTCCGGAGGCGGGAACATAGCTGGGACGCCTGTCCCCATCGGCAACATGATGGCGATCCTCGCAGGTGGGATCACGGCACTCGCCAAGCATCAAGATCTGGCCACACAGAGCATGCTTATTACTTCTTGCACTCTGTGCCTCCTTCCGAATCCTCTGGGCCAATGCTGCCACGTCGGGATCCACCTGCTGGTGCAGCTGTAGAAAGTCCACCAGGCGGGGCAGCTGACGTTGGTTGCTATTATCGAGGAGCACCTGGGAAAGCAGGGGCAGAGAACTCGATTTTCCGGGTGTAAAATCCAGCTTATTGTTAAGATTGTCGGAGAGCATAAGATGCCTCATTTTAAACCTGCTCCATGTGCTGCTCAGGCCATGATGGATCAGTGTGTGGGCATTCCGAATGGTTAACTCCGGACAACCGTCCGTGCAGAGCAGGATCAAGCCGCCACTCCTGGCCATCCAACTGTGAACCTTCTCGTGATCCTCCAGATTCGAGTTCTGATAGTAGGGAAGGCAAGCAAAGTCATGATCCTCCAGATCCGCAACCAGTCGCCCCATCTCTTCATCATCCCTGCAGTAGATCACAGTGCGGTAATCCTGCGGAGGACGCTGTTGCAGCAACTGGACCACTTCGCTGCTCTTGGAACGGATCAAGGAAATCCGAATGCGAGTGCCACCGTACAAGGCTGCCTCCAGGATGTCGCCAAAAACAACTGCCGGATGATCGCTAACGGCTCCCAGCTTGGCCATCCAAGTGTCGCTATACGACTGGGACACCATCACCAATTGGGGAAAGTGGGTGGTGGGCAAGATCTCCTGCAGCACCTGCTGCGCATTTCTCAGCTGGTCGGCGGGCATCAGGTCCACGTCATCGAACACGAGGAACTGGAGGCGTGGGAACCTCAGCAAACCCGGCATCTCACGACATAAGGATGTGAGCTGGACGGGAGTGGCCACCAGGCAGCCGACTACGTTCAGGAGGCGGAGGTAGTGCTCCGAATTGGCAGAGGGAATGTTGAGGACCAGGGTGACCCAATCCTCGGTGTGGGACTTCCTCAAGAGGGCGTGGCACAGGGCACTCACGTGGCGGACGCGCTGTAAGTCGGGCACCAGGATCAAGGCCAATGCACCCAGCTCATCCGGTTGCCATTTGCCAGGATGCTGCATCCTCCATTGCCTGTTCTCCGTCAGGGATTTGCACACCGCCTGGCAAACGGAGGGCACGTAGGCCAAGGTGCGCCCACTGCGCGGAGCACCCACTATCAACGCTCCATGTCCCAATCCTGCCCCCAAATGAGGCCATGTGTACGACTGCAGGCGCATCAAGCGGTTGAGTCCCAGTTGCCTCATCGTTTCCAGGATATGGGGCAGCATCACTACCTCCGAGAATCGACGAGCTGGTTGCATTGCGCGTGTGGAGTGCGCCACCACGTATATGGAGCAGTTGGTGGCCACCAGTGGCCGGATGGCATCCTCCGCGCTGTAAGAGTCGCCCTCCGCGTAATTGGGATCAATCCTGGCCTCCGCTTGGGTTTGCCCCTCCATTTTGACCAAATTCACGACGTTATACAGATTATTTTACATTTCTGTCAGCGAAAAAAACGATTGTTGTTAAGTTGGCTGCGCATGCCTAAAAAGCACAGTGCACAGGTGTGCAATCAAGCTTTTATCGATAAGTTTCTTATTTTCCTTAAGTCATGCTTACACTAATAGCCTTTTCACACTATAGTCTCTGTTGTGCAAAAGTAAAATACTTTTCACAAAAAAAGCTTAATTTTAGAAAAGTTTTTTATGCTTTTTCGGTTTTTAAAAACGTTAAATTAAAAAAGCCATAAATCAAATTATTTTAATTATTTTATTGATTTTATTAGTATATTTTGTGTGCTTTGTGAGGAAAGTGGGTATTTTATTGATTTTATTAGTATATTTTGTGTGCTTTGTGAGGAGACACTCCACCAACAAGGTTCTTTATTAGTTTTTTAACAAAGTCTAAGCCGAATTCTCTGAGTGCAGATTCTACTTCTCGGCATGGCATGTAAATTGCGTCAGCATTTTGCGGTGGCTTGGAAGGGGCCAACACCACCAGGGGACAAATGTACATAATCATGTCAGATGTCAGCCGAAACGAAACGAAATGAGTAACGAGTCCAGGAATCCAGCAATGCCAGAAGGCCCTTTGATTGCCTTAGCGAAGCTGCCACGAATAAATATAAATGGGGACCATCACTTGATGGCAATTGCTTGCCTTGTTGTCCTCTGCTTGGAATACTTCAGTTTCCTTGTGGCGCAACAATCGTCTGCTGGGTACCCAGTTTCCGGCCAGACATCCTACTGCACCACTTAAAATATGGGGGATTTTTCTCCATTGTCAGGACATCTTGTTTAATCAATCCAAACTTTAAATATTACTAAACGTATTACAATCTAGCAAATTAAATAAGTATTTTTTAGTAGCATTGTTTTTTCGTGATAAGTCATTTAAGCTGCTGAAGATTTAATGGTTAAATATTTTTTATATTTCGTTGAATGCCTGAAATTTTCCATTTAAAACATTTAAATTTGCGACTGTGGATACAGGAAGATTAAGATTGTTTAAGGATTTAAAATCAAAACATATTTATATTATTATACATATTTATATTTTTATAAATTTATTTGGTTCTAAAAGATATAGAAAAGTTTTAGTTGAAGCTGATAAATAATTGAAGGTAAAAAGTTTGAAAAATAATTGATTCGATATGAGTCCACGGAAAAGCTACGTTTTCGGCGTGGTTGAATAAAGGGATAAGTCGTTCCCCTTTAAAAACAAGACGGATTCCCTTTAATGTAACCGGGAATCGGGGATGGCAGATGAAAGTCAAACGAAATGGAGCCGAATCGCTGGCGTCTTATCAAACCGCACACGCGCCCATCTTGCTCATCACGACCACTGGCACTACCAATGGCACTACCCACTATCCTCCACCCGCTACCATCATCATCATCTTCATGATGCGGCAGGAAAAGAAACAGAAATCTACTACATCATAAACTAGGAGGATGTGGGTGGAGTGGAGATGGCTGGTGCGGATGGGTGGTTCTCGAAATTATGTTGATAACCTCGCATGATCCTGACATTAGAGCTGCTCGGGTGCTCGGCTGCTGTCGACAACGACCGACCTGGGATGAATTGGGAGCGGGAAGGGAAGGGAAGGGACGGGACGGGACAGGATGAAATGACCTGGGATGCGAATGCGAATGCGAATGCCAATGCGGATGAGGCTGGAGCTGGAACTGCTGCTGGAGCTGGAGATGCGCACGTTCCGGGCTTAAGTATATTCAAGCATATGGAGGGAATCAAGTGAAAATCAATAAAACCCAAACACGTCTACACAAATCACATGAAAATCGATGTTCATGGCAGTTACCGCTCCTCCAAAGACCACACTCTAAAAAAAGCAAGATCCGCAAATTGGGATACCCCTTGTCATTTTAAATACCAAAAGGGCTTTCTAATTCCATTTTGAAAAAGTTTGCTTAGTAAAACATATTTTTTACAAAGCGCAACATTTCCAATAAAACAACTGTTCTTTTTTATTACAATTTTTTACTTTTATATGCTATCAAAAATATCAACATTTTCATTATTTATTTTGTACCAGTTGTTTTAAAGGTTCTTTAAAGGAATTATAAACCAATTCATTTTGTTCAATAATGATATCCCTAATAACATTAGCTCAACTTATTTTTTAATCTTAAAAAAAAAAATATTGCAAATCGGAAAATACTTTTATTAATTAATTTATTAATTAATTTATTTTACTTTATTTTGGCTTGTAAGTAAATACATAACTTTAAGTTTATTGGATTGTTTTTTATTTTACTTAAGTTAATCAAATAGATGCATTAATAGGTAAAGAGGTAGGACCTTCGTTAGTCGAGTACCTACTAATAAATCTTTTATATTTTTCAAAATTTTGTTTAATTGCATTTATGAAATGAGAAAAAAAGTTGCAAAATGGATCCTGCTAATTAATAGGCTCTTCTTTCTTACTGTGCAGCGATAGTGATGGGCGCGAGAACTAAAAAGCCACTCTTCGCCAGCTCCAGTTTCCTGCTCCCCGGCGATGTATCGATGAACCTAAAGGATTGTTGCATGTGTTGTTGTAGCTATTTTATTGGGAAAACGTGCAACGCATTAAAAGAGGCAGCTCCACATTTTCCTCCTGCGCCACAAAGGCTCACTAAGTGGTCCATTCGACGATGGCGTTGGGTTGCACGAAAAGGCGTTCATTTGTATCCCATTTGGAGTCCCAGCGAAGCTTCTACGGCACCGTTCGGAATTCGGAATTGGGAATTTTGATCCTGTAAAGAAAGGATTGCCAGCCTAAGTGCCCAGCAGCCGGGCTTTGGTTGAGGCTTTTAGCAGCGTTTTCTTACGGCTCCCATTCCGCATCGCATTTGTCCTGCGGAGTGCATTTGTGTGTCTGCAAACGTGAAGGCTTTCCCAGTGTCGATTTTCCACGTGTGAAAGAGTTTCAAATCACGAAAAAAAAAACATCGCAACTAAGTGGATATGCTATATGGATTTCACAGCAGTTATTGTTGCTTGAAAAGTTTGTGATCCTTTCTTTATTGGGGCTGAAAAGAAATATAGTAGCAGTAGTAGCTCGAAAGTAATTTTTTGGGCCCAAAAGATTTGTTGTGTATTGCAAAAAAAGGTTCAATACTTAATTGTAAAACCTATTTTTGCTTTTTAAAAAATCTATTCAATGTGCTCTACTTGAATAGACACAAAAATAATTTGGTGTATTGGGTTTATTTGCAAATATGTTAAACTAAAATGATCTAAAAAATTTGTCAATATTTCTATAACCAATTTTTGTTTTAAACTTATTATCACTTACCATTGTTTTATGAATATTTAGTAGCTCTTCAATCATCAGCAATGTATAAAAGAGGACATAACACTTAAAAAAACCTTTAATGGTCAAAATAGGTTTACACAATTTTTCTTTGTATAAAATATATGATTATATATCAATTTATTACATATATCTACCGAAATAAATGGGATAAAGGTAAGTCATAAGTAAATGGTCAAATGCTTATTACATTTAACTATTTTACTTTTACAAAAGTACATATCCATTAACCAAGTGTGTATGTAATATCTTTGCAGCTCTTAAATCTGCAAGTACGATTACTTTTGAAAGAATACAATGGCAGTGCTCCCCAAAGTAAACGTCTTTGCAATGTGGCCTGGGTCTATTAAGCTGTTTTGGGTTGATTTTGGTAAGGGGACTTGTAAGCCGCCCTGAACATCTCATTTGGCTGATTCCCAACGGGACGTATTTAGGTTAAACTCGTGTGGAACTCACTCACATAAATCATGCATTTGATTAATTGTATGCTACTGACTTTTATCCTGTTCGACACTGCAGCGAGGCTACAAAAAAATTCAAAAGAAGACGAGGGAGAACTGGCCTTTAAAACTTTTGGCATACACTGAGAAATAATATCACAGAAATGTCTTGAAATGATTTATTTGTGTAGTAGAAAAGCGAGCTAAAGTCAAGATATGTATAGTTATTTCAAGGAATTTATGATTATCCAAAAATGATTGCAGAAACAAACCAGAAACTTAAACAGAACAATATATTTAATTTACAGATAGACATCAAGCTGTTATTATTTCGTAATAAGATTATATTACATAATTGATAATATATAAAAATATTAAAATGTTCTGATTAAACATATAAAATTTGTGTATTAATATAAAAGTTAGATATCCTATATATGCCAAATAGACTTCTATAAGAGCCACGGGAAAAAAAGTTATTTTAAATTTTTAACATTAGATACATTTTTAATTAAATTATAATTTATGATAACATTTTAAACCAGAAAAGTGAATAACGGGTAACTCATGGTCGGGGGCACTGATCTATTGTTCCCTTATTTTCTTTTTTCATTTTTTCTCTCTCTGTACTTTGGTGGAAGCCCCATGCTGGGCACTGTGCCCCCCTCCCCTTGCCCTTCGCCAGGCAATTGTGTTGTGTAAACATTTTTTCAGCATTAACTGACATGTGTAAATCCCCCCAACGCAACACAGAAAAAAGGCAGCTAGACGAGGGAAATGCGGATGCTTTCTCCAAAGCCAAAGCCGATCCAATGGAGAGTGGAGCACCCACAACGAGCCAGTGACAAATAGGGAAAGGGGGAGTGGGTGGATGGCGGTACATGGAGGGGGGGAGGGAGTGGCTGCTATAAGGGCACCCAGGAGGAGGGGGGTGTTAGCCGGACTGTCCAACGCCAGCGGCGCCATTTTTTATTTCTATTAAGATGAATTGTTAAAACAGTGACAGGCCCTGTGTCGGCGAAGCATTTTCATCCATTTTCTTGCTTTTCCCTTCCCATTTTCCCAGCAGAACGGGAGGCGGTACAATGGGTCTTGTCATCCGGTAAAGGCCAGATATATACGAACATCAACATATGTACATAAATATATATATATATGCACTAGAGTGTGCAGGCGACGTATTCCCCAAAACACCATAAATCGTCTTGTGAAATTCTAATAAAAAAGGACAAAACTAAAATCAGGTTTTTACTTTCGCAAGTGAATTGCTATTTTCTTTATAAAACTTAATAGTAAGTGCTCCAATTTTCAGGGATCATGTTTTTGATTTTTAAACAGAAATCGAAACACAATTGTTTATATTATTATATCGTTTTGAAACCGTAAGAAAGATTATTTGGATGTTGCTACTAAAATTGACAAGCAAAAATGCAAGTATGCCGAAATTTTGCCTGATAATTAGTTATCATTTGCATTTTAAATATTTAAAAAATTTATGAATTAATCTCAATCATTTTTATTGTTAACTATTATGAGTAACCCAACACAATACTTATTTTTAATAACCCTTTTTTATGGCAATATAGTATTTCACTAATTTAAACAATTAATAGCATAGATTTCAATGGAGTTGATTTTCTCTAAGAGTTACAATTTTGCCAAGAGAATTTCTCCTTTAAAATCGTTCCTTTAAAATCGTTCTCTCAACTCAAGAGTTCTTTAGAACTGCTCAAGAGACCGACCCACTCAATCAATCATGACTCAAGAGTCTTGGCGGGCAACAACAGCTGATCAAGAGAGAGAGAACGCCGCTCAAGAGAGAGTTCACGGCCAAGGAGAAGGAAAAGCAGCGACGCCGGCAGCGCTGCCGATACCGGCTCGGAAAATCGGTATAAAAGCAGCCGCACGCGGTGCCGGCCGGATAGTAGCTTTTTGGAAAACTGTTGGAAAACTGCTCCGCTCCGCTCAGCTCAGCTCTCCAGTGTCCCGTTATCGAGGCCCAGTTGTTCTTCTAGTTCCAAGCTCTCTCGCCGCGCTGCTCTCGCACACCCACACAAACAAAGGAGCCACAGCTGAGCGAGCGTCGAGGAGAGAGAAACTCTCTGTAAACATAAAGCCACGCTCCGTTCTTGCGCATTCGTTCTGCTCATGTTAACTTACAGAGCATGTTAACTTCCACTCAATCGCTTTTACGAACACGAATATATATACGAATACGGGCAGAGCAAATGAAGTCTATATAGTTTCGCACATCGGACCAAAAGAGCAGAAGTATAGCCAGAAAACCGGAAAAAACGCAGCCATCAGCACTTGAAACTTCGCCATATGTAGCAAAGAAATAAATCGAAATATCTGTCCAACCAACAACAAATTAAATCAAAACCATGTGCTGTGCTTAAATTTATTAACAAACCAGACAGAGCGAGATAGAAAAAGGAGGCCCAAGGAAAGAGCGAAAGAAAGAGCGAGAGAGAGAGCTGGACGGGGCGGCGATTTGCGTTGATTTTTTAGCATGTATTGAATTGAAATGTTTAACTAGAATAACAAATTTAGTTGTTGATACTTTTCCAATTGTTTGTTAAACGCTGTCGCTGGAAAATCGAACTCTCCACCCACACAACAACACAAAACACACAACACACACGCGAAATAAAATCAAATTCTTGTGATTAAAGTGCATTTCTATACGTACGTTAAATACAACTATCCACACTCACGCAATATAATAAAACGCAACGAAAGTCGGTCGAGATCAGTATTTGGAATCAAAATCTATATACCCCACTTGGCTGAAAACACGCAAAATAGCAGTTTCAACGGCGATTCTATGAAGATGGAAGTGCTCTCAGTACAAAATCACATTCAGGGAAAATTCGGTGTTAATAAAATTAAAGGTAAGTTCATCTTCTTAATTGATTTATTTTACGTGACCATCTGAAAGGTTTAAGTGTTTGAATTAAAACTTATTAGAAAATCTTCAAAAACAGAATGTTCAGTTTTTGACAAAGTTTTAAAATAATAAGACAACTTAAATAACTTTAAGGTCTTTTCGTAAATTTGGCTTCTGTTAATTATTACACATGTACTAAATAATAAAATCAGTAAATTTTCAAGCAACAAATTATAAGTTTTAAAGAATTTAAATATGTACTTCAAAAAATGTTTGATAAACTGATAATTTCTATTGGCATGCGGCACACTTTGAATTTAAATTTAGAATTAAGTTTAATCCAGTTGAATTTATGCAGATGTTCAATAAAATAAAAAAAGTGTATCGCAATGAGTACTAATTAGATTATAACTTGATAACTTTTATCCTGAAGAAAAAAAGTTGTTCAGCATTTCCAGTAAAAATGTGAGGTTCGTATTTTCACAAATCAAATCAACGAATATTTCAGATCCAGATGTAATAAAATCAGGTGCAGCACAAGCATTCAAAAAACAGAGATTAAAAATGTATTGTTCGCTGTTATTACGCTTGATTAATTTTTATGCCCTGCCTCGCATTAAAACTAAATGTAAGGTCGCTGTTCACCTTGTGAACTTACAAAATCCACTCGGGTTGTTTCTTGCAAGAATTCTTAATTAAGGCACATTTCGGATATTTTAATGTGCCACAAACATTTTTATTTTTCATGTTTATGGGCCATTATTTGCCTTTTTTTATTCAATTAATTTTATAGCGTACGGGAACATTTCATTTGATGTCTTTAGCAAATTTTCCAGAGATTATAAAATTCATTTATTCAAGTATTTCTTTTACCAATGGAAAATTTTTATAGATGTTTCTGCTGATTTGAAATGGAATGCTTAATGACTCGAGTGTTTTTATAAATTAAGTTCTTCTGGTCAAAAACAACTAGAACTTTCAAAATTTCGAAAAATGTTCTTTCACGATATCGTGTGGACTTTTACGACCCGATAAAGCGGCGTTTAGGGGGTTGCAAATACATATGTGAAATTTGCATTATGCATTTTGCACTCCGTTCCTGTCCGAAGCCAGGCGGGCATATCCTGTTCATGTGTCTGACGGGCGGATTATGCAACATCCTGTTAATCCTGTCACTTTAAACTTTGCACCACGGCACCAAGAAAGAGTTGAGTTGGGCAAATTAGACGGGGGACGGCCGCCTGGGCAACAGGGAGGGATTGGGATTGCATATGCATATAGCCATATAGCCACGTAGCACGTAAGCCAAAAACAGCAAAAAATGTAAAATCACCCAGAGGCGAACACAACACAACAAGCGGCGGTGGTAGCGACATGCAACAACATGTCGCCTCGCACACAAACTCCCGCAGATTTACCGTTACTCGCAGTGCAGCCAATTTTAGCGGGAATGCAAATTTAAAAATATATTTTAGTTAAATTTTAACAAATATATTTTTCCCTTCGAAACTATGTAAATATGTAAAAGCACCTTTCTAAATACTTGTAAATACTTTTTTTTGCCGCCGCAAAAAGCAAGTTTTATGGTCTTTAGATTTTTTTTGATTTTTGATAGTGCACGTTATCAAAAATGCCCAAATGTACATATATTTGCATCAAATTCGAAATCTTGTTGGTGTTTATTTGAAGTTAACTTGTAAAAATGACTAAAATGTCTATAATATAAGTGCCTGTTTTCCAATCAAAATACTTAATGGTCTGGAATGGACCGATTTGGCGTGAAAAAAGCTGAGGGGGCCGCATTGGTAATATTCCCCACCTTGTTGCTGGCTTGCATCGCGCTCAAAGCTCTGCAGACCCCACCAAACCTCCGAGTCTGAGCCACCCTGTTTCCCGTCCCGCCCTTCCACGCCCCAGCCAACGTATGTATTTGCAGTCAATTTAATTTCATGACTGACTGAGCGCATGCAATTTTATTTTCGAAGGACATACGAACAAGCCAGCCTCAGCAACACTCACATATAACCATTATTCTTTCTCCATAAAGAATATGTACAGCTGGGTTGAATTTATTATGCTGATTTTTGTAAATAATACAAAATGTTATAAAATTCTTTCTTAAACGGCAAATATAAAAAATCTATAGTGTAGAGAATCTAAATCCAAGGCGTCCAGGCAATGGTTGCCTAACCAATTAGTTAATTTCTTTGAATAAACATTAGTTATGCCCATTGTCCATTTATAAATAATTCCATTTGGGCGTTGCGAAAAAGGGTTATCAAGAAGTTGGTTTAATATTTATCGACCCCATGAGTAGGTTTTTTGAATTCAGATTCACAGCGGTTCCCAAAGAATTCCATTAGGTGAACAAATGCGAATGACTTCCAAAATTGGTCGCAATGAATTATTTATAAAATGCTTATTGATTCAAAAAAACTAAGATACATATGTACAAATGTGTGCACACTGTACAAATGAACACAGACACATACGAAGTACAGTTCATGGACTGTCTTACAACCAATTTAACTCGATTAGCGAGGTTTTATTGAAGATCCAAAATAGAATGGAACCGAACAATCAACATTGATAACAGCGCAAACGGTTTACTTCGGTAATTAAGGGGAAGATCTAAAAATAAAAGCAGCAAAATTATCAATTCTCATAGTTGTTTTACAGTGAACATCAGCTAAATAAAATATAATATAAACCTTCTCTAATGAGCAATGAAAAATATAAAATATGAACTATTTCTTGTAACAATTCAATATTTATGAGTTGAATATTAATGTTTGATTCCTTTTAAAAATTGGAAATTAATTTAAATGATTATGCGTTGTGCTAAGATTCGTTGAATATAATAGAAAACTGGGATGTGAATTAAATTAACCCATAAATTATAAATGACTTAAAATTTTCTGAGTATGGAAAACAATGTAATCTTTTCTCTTAACCGATATACACTGTAAGAACATGATTGCCATGTCGAAGTGCGCGAAAATTGAATCCCAAGGCCAAGCGACGCCACGCATTAAGAAAGCCAAGTAATAAGCCCAAAAGCTCAGTCATCTCCCACTCTTTCCCTCCCCCGCTTTATCAACACTATGAGTCTCATACACTCGTCTGAGCTGCACAACAACAGGAAAATACAAGCGAACAAGAACAGACATGTTTGCGGTTTACCGTTAACTTGGATGGGCTGATGCTGCGTTGCTGATTCTTCTTCTCTTTGCAGGTATTGTTATACATTCTTGTGTTCGTTGTTGTTGCTCTTGCTGATTTCGAATGCACAAAATACACAACCACAAATGCTCCACGATTGCTGCGGCAAGTAAGACACAGTAAGGGAGGGAGAGAGGTAGAGGGAAAGTGAAAAAGGGAGGTGGTGGGGAATATGCCCATCTTTTCTCCAAAAGCAAATATGCACACGAATACACCACCCACAAAACACATCCTTTTACATATGTATGTATGTATGTATGGATATGTGTTAGTACAGTGGAGGGTACAAAAACATATGAATGTACATATGTACATATGTATGCCTTTTTAAACATATTCTTCAAAAAATTTAACAAATCGGCATGATAATCCGTTTGTCAAAATCTACTGAATTTGCACATATGACCATATACATACATATGTGAACTTAAGCAAACCAAAAGATACTTGTTGGAAATAATCCAAGTTTATTACTCATACGTACTGTTGCCTCTGATTAAATAATTTATTTTCATACTTTTTTAAAGGTTTTGGTTTTATTGTCAACCAAAAAATGATTTTTTGTACTTGTTATTATGACTTTGTTTGAATTAAAGATTTGAAATGTGAGAAAGATTTTTCGTAAATAATTCAAGCTGTCAGACGTGACGTATACGTAATTCGTATACGTAATGTCGGTTTTCAAATAAGTTTATTTTACACTAAATTCGACCATGTTATACATTAAGAAAAGGAATTTTTTTGAAATAGTGTTTGTTCGAAACATGTATTTACTTTGCTCATCAAATACAAATTCGGGGTGCAACAGATATACATACATATGTACATATGTATGTATCTAGATCGCCTTTTAGATTTATAGAATTATTTTATTGGTTCGCAAAGATAACAAGGTTTTATTAATTTACGAGTTGAGTTTTACAGCTAGTAATTTGCTCCCAGCTGTGGCAGGAGTACATTCATATAATGTTCACATTTGTTTGTGTGCTTTATAATTAAGTGTGTGGTCGTTGTCTGTTTTTTTATTTTTATATGGTTCTTTTTGGCTTTCGCTTTTTTGACTTTGCACAAACCCTTTTGTGGAGACAACGGCACTTGACAAAATCCAATAACACATATGTACGCAGTGGGGAGCGGACGGGGCTATAGAGAGGTTGTGAGAGAGAAAAAGGGATGCACAGACATGTGGACACATGCAGAGCCGCAAACATGTGCCGTTAATTTCTTAATTACGCGGGTGTGCCAAGGAGGCAGAGGAATATGGAAGAAAAGAGAGAACGGCAGAGCATGCAAGATGCATAAGGGGGAGAGCGGGATAGAGATACACATGCAAAGCTAACGAGAGCAAATTGTCCATTCAGCAACATTGCAATGATTATACAGTGGGCGGCATGGGTAATAGCAGGGAAATGGGGAATGGGAGGGTGGAGACGGAGCTCCTCTTTAAAGAGTTTCCGCGCTAATTACAAGACGCTGTCAAGACAAGCCAAGTAGTTAATTTGTACTTGCTGCACTTGCACTCACCGTGTACACTGTACATACAGTCACACGATAGGAGTATGACCAAGAAAACAACAACTAATTAAACATGTTTTTACATTTTTTTTCTACAAAATTTTTGTAACGGTTAGAAAAGCAATCGGGTTTTATAAAACTCTTATTAAATTGATAATGAAATAACAACTGAATAATACTACATACATTTTTTTTATCGTTTTTGCAAGAATCGTTTGCTTGGAACATGGATTTAAATAAAAACATCTATAACATTTTCATAACGACTTTTTAAAATCGTATTCAACAAAAAGAGTTAAATTTAAAAAAATCTTCAATTTTCAACCTTTCACTCCACAGTACCATTTAATTCCCAGCTCGGTGAAGTTCAGTTTTTGAGAGGAGTTGAGCTCCGGTTTTTATCGTCTGGTCGTTCGAGTAATAAAGTAACAGCAAAAGAAATAAAAACAAGGGATAGAGAGAGGAAATCGTACGAAGGGGGTAAAAAGGAGGGGGCCCAGTACAAACTGCTGACTTGGGGGGGCAGATAAAGAGAGAAGGAGAGAGAGCGTCAGCTGGAAACGGGAAACGGCTGATTTTCCAGCTGTTGTTGCCAGGTGATTTCCCCCGGCCCCTGCCTTGCCCCTCTCCGCTCAACCTGGAAGCGGAGTCTGCGCACTGCACTCTTTTCGGCTCCACATAGTGGTACGCGAGTGTGGATCCCGAGTCTTAGACATCAGCTGATTTTTTTCGCTTCCATTCTCACATGGAACTCTTTGCCGGTCGATGTGCCATCCAAAACTACAGTTGAACTTCCGTAAATAGAACTGTTCCATCCGAATTTCGCGTAACTCAAAAGAAACGGATAAAATTTCACTTAATGTGTCTAAGCCTTTTTTAGTTTCGGACATATACTTCTCGAATTCCGATTTACGGAAATTCAGGTGCATACTTATTTCTTATTTTCAAATAAAAATTTCTCAATAATTAAATAAGTTTTACAAATGAGAGACTTGATTTTAAATAAATATTATTTTTAGTCTTATTAAAGACATATTAAATAAAAATCTTTTATTAATTAAATAGAAAACATTTTTATAATTTTTACAATTGTTTTGAGCATAGATGTTTTTAAATTTGTGTCTTATAAGTCTATAAAGGCTATATTCACAATAACTAGTTGTTGCTAGTTTGTTGCTTTTTTGAAAGATTACCGTAATTAACAGCACGAATCTATTTTTTTCCAGACTGGCAAGCTGCGACGGCACCGCTGGAGGAGGAGGAGGAGCTGACATCGGCCGTGAACGGGAACACAGCCGCCGGCGAGGGGGTTCTAGACGTGGACGAGGTGGATGGCCATCCGGCCTCCGTGTTGCACATGCGACAGCACCAGGCGCTCAATACGCGCCCACCCTCCACGCCCCCAGTGGCGGGGGGTGGTGGTGCGATGGCCGGAGGAGGAGCCGGCGGAGTGACTACTCCCAAGCAGGCCACATCGCCGGTGGCTGCGGCCAGTTTCGAGGTGCCCGTTAGCGGTGGCAGTGCTGCAGCCTATCACCACGCCTACATGACAAACGTGCTGGCCAGCACCGCCCATCAGCAGCATCACTACCACCACCCACTGCCCGCCTCGCCGCTCCAGTCAACGGCCGGCGCTCGATTTGGGGCCGCCGACAACCTGGACGATGTGAGCGCCAGTGCGGTGCGGGAGCTGTCGCATCAGCTGCAGGCCCAGCTGCGGGACGCCAAGCGACGCCACCTGTCCTGCACCGAGGTCACGCTGCCCAACGACCTCACGCAGCGCATCGCCGCGGAGATCATCCGGATGTCGGAGCGGGAGCCGTGCGGAGAGCGCGCCTGTACGCTCTTCATCGAGTTCGAGAGCGAGCCGAATAATGTGAGGTGAGTGGTGATGAATGGACAACCTGAAGGGGAGACGCACTGGCTCAGTTTGATCTCAATGATTGGGGAATTTTTGCCATACTGAGGGAAAATGAATAGAGATCCTTAAATAAGCAGCTTAAAATCAATTTTTTTTTTAATATATAAGAGTTTTGAACACCGCAAAAGAATTTATACAATAGGTTTGGCTTTTAAATATTTGTAATTTGGACACAATGTAACTATTTTGTATGTTTTTATTCGATCACCATGTATAATAGCCCAAAACCCTGTTTTAAAATATAACAATTAATTCAGAAGTTATTAAGAAATTAAGTTTTACATGCTTAATGACAGAGCTAGCAGCTAAATATACCTTACCGGCACATCTTTATTGTTTACAGAATAATAGTCCTGGAATTAGAAAATAGAGTTTCTTCTTCATTATTTTGAAAACCTTTTAATATTAACCATTTTTACTTTGCAGACGCATTGCATCCTTCAAGGTTGACCCGGATACAGTGTCGATATTCGAGTTGTACTTGACGTTGAGGCAGGACAAGAGCGGCTGGACCTCCCTGCTGCCGCAGTTTATAAAGTAAGTGCCCATGGATAATATTCAGAGTGGCAGCATATTAAATAACTTGTCAATCTCCTCCAGAAACCTCACACGTAGCAATACTATCAACATCAGTCCCGACTTCACGCTGACCAAGAACAAGCTCTACTCATCTGAGTGAGTCGCTCGACGGAGGAGCGGCATGGAGTGCGAACCAGAATAGCTGGGCTGCTCAAAACTCAATCCCTCCGAACAAGAACAGTAACAGCAGCAGATACAACAGCAGCAATCGCAATAGCAACATCTATCGGTCGTGCCCCCTTCGTCGCGACCCTCCAGATTCACGATCTTCATTATGGATAACAATACAGAGAGAGAGATGATGATGTTTAACCGTAGAGGCAAACTTTTGGACCACAAACTATCAACTTACTCCTGCAAATAACAAATCAACTCAACGCTAAAGCAAAAACAATTATTTTGGAACCTAAGCTCTAAAACAAAACCAAAAAACCAAAATGAAAACAAAAACAAATCAACTGCAGTTGCAGGCAACTCAAAACTCTTATTGGACTGACTTTTTGGCTTAAACAAAAAAGGTACTTTTTGAAAAACGAAAAAAATTGCAAAAAAAAAGAAGTATTGAAAACGAGGAGATGGAGAGTGAGGAGAACACACAAAACCATAAGAAATATTCAAAATATTGTAAAACGTTAAGGCAGACAAGCAGAAGAAAACTTCACTCAGTGAACGGTTGTCGGGGATCCGTTTTAAATTGAATACAAAAGGCAAAACCCCCGGACAGAAGTATAGAGTATTAACCCCATTTGTATGTATGGATGTGTGTACACCATTACCTTGTATCATCATCATAATCCAGAAATCAAATGTAGCATATATATTATGTATGACTTGAGTGCATAATGTATAATACATGTTTTTTGTCACGATTCAATTAGGCTATTACTTCTAAACGCATGCATGCATACATACTCTATATTATGTATTGGGAAAAAGAAAACCAACCAATTTCTATATATATGAGAGCAAACAATAAGATTCGGAAGCGATAAACCGAGGCAGAAAGTGGAAAGTTAATAATAACAAATATAAAAACAAAGTTGATGTGATATTATATAATAATTATGAATATTGATAAACGCATACACACTCACGAATTCACTCACATACAGAACAAAAAAACCGATTGCAGAATATTTGAAATAGATTGGAAATTATTTCGAAATTTTGTTCGATCCCAGTTATCTTAGAGAAAAACAAAATTCATGTTAGATAAATAGATTCAAACAATTCTCAAAATATTTCCACCTATTTATGATTAAGCTCTGTATTATTATTTTAATTGATTATTATTATTTTCTTGTTTTTGTGCAGAGTTCCAAACTCTGCGAAGAAAGTGTAGCCAAGTGGCTGAATATACAATATACATATATAGATATATATGAAAAATATTTCTAATATTTGATGTGTTTCTAATGTAAGATTTTAATATTAAACAAGCAAAAACGAAATCAACAACAAGAGAAACAAAACTCAAATCCAGCAGAAGATTTCATTCAATGTGCGTAGCTGTGTGTTTATCTGTAGTTTAGTTAACTAAAAACAATTGAAAACAAACAATAACAACACGATATGACAAACAAACAAAATTGATAAGAAAGAAACGATGAATATCGATAGAAAACGGTTATAATATTTAACATATACACATGTATGGATACATTTTGGCTAGTTAGTTGGCAAACAAATTGTTTTGATTAACGAATGATCTAAGCAGTGAAATTATTTATAAAAAACAAGCGAAAAAATTGATGAAAAAAATGGGTAACTATTGTGAAGAGGTAGAAGCAAAAACTTTCGGAAAATATAAAGTCATCTGTGTTAATAAATTTTAAAATAATTTTTAGCGTAGAATAACAAAACCAAGAAGTGAAAACGTAAAGGCAAAACAAAATTAATCAAATCTGTTGTAAATAACAGATTTCTAAAAAGCTCTCACATACGCCACAAAAAAAAATTACAGATCCCAAGTATTCGACAGGTTAATTGTAGTTTAAACTCGTGCATAACACACCCACAAACAAGCACACGCAATGGCAAACAAGAATTTATTTATAAAACCAAGAAATACAAAAAAACATTTGCAATAATTTAATTTAAACTAACTAAATACTTTTTCCATCATTAATCAATCCCACAAAGATCTCGACTAATAAGATGAAGAACTCATTATATGATAAAGGAAAGAGCGGAATGAAAATTACACAAAAGAAAATACAATTTAGGTATTTAAAACTTGCTTTAAACTTATTTAGGTTAACCCAGGTGTAAAATGCCAAGAACCCTCTAACGCATAACAAATGTTTTAGCCATCTCAAACTCAAGTATCGACTTTTCAGCTCCATTCGATCATTAGACACAAACTCACACATAAGCATATGCATATATTAAAGATATATAGTGTATGTAAATAGGGCCACCGTAGCAGCAATAAATGAGAAGAAAACGAAAACTTTATATATACTGTATTAACTATTTAAATGTGAACATAATTAAAGCAAGTGAAGAAATAGAACCATGAATGTGATCTATTTAATAACAAACAAAGTAATCTTAAATAAAATTAAATTTGCAGAAAGCGAGAAAGAAATATTGTAATCATTTCCTTTTGTTCAATTGATGAAATTATTAACAAAGTAGTTGTAGGAGATTTTAATTTGTAGAATTTCCATTATCATTTGCCGAACATCTTTCCAAATAAATTGGTTAACGTTATCGTTTCGAATGTTACCAGGCTTTGTAAGAATATAGAATTCGCAACGCTTTCTATGTGGTTTTTCTTGAGCTTCTTTTTTTAAATCGAATATTGTCTTTTGAAGTAGTGAAACTAACTCCAGTTTTCGGAGGATTTTTTTGTTACGTTTTCCATGGATAAGTGAAAACTGTATAGAGATACAAAGAAAGAAATGAATCTTAGATCTGTCCAGTGCTCCTCAAAGTATTTTGTAAACAATAATGATAAACCAAAAACAAAAAGAAAAGCGAAAACAAAACTCGTGACAAGTATCAAGCCCATAGGCAAGCGGATATAAATATGTATTTATGCAAGGGTATGCGAAAAGTTCTATATATGAATGTAAAATAGATGTATGGATATATCTATATATATTGTAGAATTTTTACACATTCTATTACAGACTACAGAGTTACCGACTAAGGCAAATATTACGATTACTACTACGGCAGTACTAATGTATATTTTCAATGTATGTGTGTGTGTGTTGTTTAAGGGAACCAATTAATGCATTCAAAAATCAAATTACAAATCAATTAAACAAACGCCTCAAGTAAAATCGAAAGCAAATAACACTATCCGTAATACTAGAGACCCCTTCAAATGCTAAACAGATCCCGAAACTAAATTTAAATTAAAACTGCATTCCAATTGCGACCGAAATCAGTATGGCATCTTTGATTATCAATAGGAAGTTAAATTCAAACGATTATCCCACCATATGCAATCTGAGCCAGATTTCATTATCATTTTCACCTTAAGTTCAAGTTTCAGTTCATAACTTGCTTTTCCATCAGCTAGGAAAACTCTTACAAGTCCGATTCCCTCCCGAATATTTTGCAGTTCACATCGGCGCTTGTTTCATTTACGACTAATCAAATATTCAAGGGAATGATTAATTGTTCTAAAGTACCGTTGATGTGAGTCTCTGTTGTACAACATATAGTTATGTGACGAAGTAATGTTTAACAAATTCCATTATATATGTGGCAATAGGTCTATAACGAATAACGAGTCTAAAGCGAGAGCTGAAACGAAGGATTGAGAGGGGAAAATAAAAAATATATATATTATATATGTATACCATATACTACCTATATGATTATGAGTGTATGTAATGAAGAAAAACAAATGGAAATAAAACAAATTTAAATTTTAGTAGCGCTTAACAAATTCTAGCAATTTAACAAATTTTAATTAATCAAATTAAACAAACAAATGCAAAAATTGCAATTTAATTTTTTTCTCTGTGTAAAAGTTGATTAAAAAATAAAAAAAATACAATACAAAAAAAAACAATAAATTTTTTAAATGTGAAAAAATAATTAGTTGTTTTTATTTCTAATATTTTATCTTTTTTCAGCTATTTTTAAAATGAGACGTGATTGTAACAGTTAAAAATATCTATTTTCATACCACTTTCAACTGGTAATTAAATTTTCAATCAAATGGCTTTCAAACCTAAAATTTAAACAATAATTGAATGTAAAGTAATTGTATGGTAACCCCTTTCTAAACTGCGCTGTTAAGCTTATAACTTTTATTACAGAAATCCGATTTTAAACTAGCACACTTCTATTTATTGTGGCTTGATTTTCCACAAATCTGCGCTTAATTCTTTATTTGTATATTTGGGTCGAGCATATCAAATGTAAATAGGAAGACATTAAAAATAAAAATATACAAGGTCACTTGGCTCACCTAATTATGCGGAGTAGTCATTACATCTATTTAACAAATTGTAGCATATATTTGGGCGAACATTTGTGTGCGGCAAATATTGACCAATAGTTTAATGCTGTTTATTGATTCACGTTTAATATCATTTTTTATGACAATAGAGGAATTCACTTCAAGAATTGTTATTTGTCAAATGTACAGATTTTAATAGAAACCGAACTGATCCGGAAATTAGTACTGAGCTATAAATGGGGTAACACCAACTTCAGTCAATCACAACACTCGATCACAGCTTTCGATCCAGTTTAACTATAATTGTCTAATAAGCTCCAACTGCATACAAAATGAAGTACCTCTTCGTGGTCGCCCTTATTGCGTTGTCCATTCAGTTGGCCTACTCTGCAACTTCTACCAATGCCACTACCACTACAACAACCACTGCGGCAACAACCACTACAACAACAACAGAAAAGTCCACCCACAAGAAGAGATGCTGGAAGGGCAACAACTGGTGCCACACGCACATCCCCAAAAGAAAGTGCAAGCACCCAAAGAGATGCCACAAGACCGTCGTGATAGTGACCCGAAGAAAGAACTAAGAGCAATCCAGATTTTTATTAAAAAATAAATATATAAAAAATATTTAGCACGCCATTTTTATTCTTTACTTTTAATAAGATCGGAAAAGCCATTTTTGCTATCCCTTTTATAATTGGCTACTCTTAACAACACGCAGAATTTCAAACCGTTGATCGTTAAAAAATAATAAAGTAAGAAGTAGATGAAATCTATAGATACTCAATAATTTTGATTTAGTATGTAAATAAATGATACATTTTCTATTTTTCTATGGCTTGGGTTTGCTGAATTCCATCTAAAGCAAGAAACCGTAATATGAAATATATTACATATATCTCATAACTTTTCCTACAGACATCCGTTTTCAAAGCGGCATACCTCGAAATGATTATGGCTTAATTCTGTGAAAATCTGTGTTCAAATCTTGGTTTGTATTTTCGGTCGATTTTTCATAATTTTAATGATGTTTCCCCTTTCCAAATTTGGCCTTTCAGATAAGTGGCCCAAAACCTGCCACTTCTAGGCCCATAACTTTTCTTACAGACATCCGATTTTAAAAGCCATTTTATGATCGTGGCTTAATTCTGTAAAAATCTGTGTTTTTAGCTTGGTTTGTATTTTGGGGTCGATTTTTCGTCATTTCAACAGTGTTTACCCCTTTCCAAATTTTCGGAAAATGGCTTTGCAGAAAAATTACCTAAAACCTGCACTTCTAAGACCATATCTTTTTTACAGAAATCCGAATTCAAAGTGGCATACTTCTAAATGATTGTGGATTAATTCTCGAAAAATCTGTGTTCTTGGTTTGTATTTTTGGGTCAATTTTTCGTCATTTTAATCCAAATTTCCAAATTTTCAAAAATGGCTTTGCAGAAAAGTGGCCCAGAACCTGCACTTGTAAGCCCATAACTTTTCTTACAGACATCCGATTTCAAAATGGCATAATTCTAAATGATTGTGGTTAAATTCTCTAAAAATCTGTGTACCTAACTTGGTTTGTATTTTGTGGCCGATTTTTCGTCATTTTTACGAAAACTGGCTTGCAGAAAAGTCATCTAAAACCTGCACTTCTAAGCCCATAACATTTCTTACAGACATCCTATTTGAAAGTGACATACCTCTTGGTACCGCTGCTATAAACAGCGCTGAACCAAGTAATCGAGTCAAAAGAAGACTGAAATGACACCACCCTCAAGACCTACCGGACCGGATTTTGACCTAGCAACATTACCTAACTCATTTTAATTAATAAAAAAAAATATATATATATATATATATTATGAATTTACTTCTTGCCCTAATTAACGATTAGACTAATTATTGTATAATTTTTGTAAAAACCGATTAGATTAAGCTGCCAGTTGGGTAGCAGTGTGCTAATCTTAAGAATAAAATTTCCACATTTATAAAAGTAAAAATAATAAATCTAAATAATTGTGGTTTAATTCTCTAAAATCTGTGTCTGGAGTCATTTTTGTGATTTTTGTGACTTTTCCAAAAATGGTTTGCAGAAATGTCTTCAAAAACTGGACTTTTAAGTATATAACATTGCTTCCAGATATCCGATTTTAAAGTGTGTCTTCTAAACAATACGAGCAAATAGAATGTAAATAGGAATGTACACCTAGTAATGCGGATAAGTCTTTTTACATCTGCTACGCAAATTGTAGCATATCTTTGGGCGGACATTTGTGTGAGGCAAATATTTACCTAGATTTGAATTCCGTATATTGATTCTCGTTTATTCAAAATAATAAATATTTGGTATTTGTCAAATGTTCAGATTTCAAGAAAAACGGAACTTATCCGGAAATTACTACTGAGCTATAAATGAGGTAACACCAACTTCAGTCAATCACAACACTCGATCACAGCTTTCGATCCAGTTTAACTATAATTGTCTAATAAGCTCCAACAGCATACAAAATGAAGTTCCTCTTCGTGGTCGCCCTTATTGCCTTGGCCATTCAATTGGCCTACTCCGCAACTTCTACCACTACTGATGCCACTACCACTACAACAACCACTGCGGCAACAACAACCACATCCTCATCTGCAACCACTACATCAACAGAAGAGTCCACCCACAAGAAGAGATGTTGGAAGGGCAACAACTGGTGCCACACGCACATCCCCAAAAGGAAGTGCAAGCACCCAAAGAGGTGCCACAAGACTGTTGTGATAGTGACCCATAGGAAAAATTAACTAAACGGATCTTAATGCAAAATATTTATCTAAAAATAAAGAATTCAAAAAAGTTAAACATATTTTAGTTGTTTTTTTATACAGGCTCGGTAGTACTTTCACTAATGAAACAAAAATCATAATGCTCTTCTTGCAGCAATAATAAACACATTTAGTTAGAAAGTTATAATCTAGTCTTTTAATTTAGAGAATTTTATTTTTAGAGAAAACTCCACTTCAAAACTATTAAATTAACAGTTTATTTTTATATTTTTTGGGGTAAACATAAAACTTTTAAAATAACTGCACTTATTATGCCCATCTTATACTGATGGTTTGTGTATTTGCTACGAAGTAAGGTAAATTACATTTATGTATACATTGTGTATAAATTTATGTTTTTAGTAGAAGTAGATATGGAAATTGTTTGTTTTTAGTAAAAAGCAACACTAAAAATGATAATTTAATTAAAAACAAATTGCAAATAGTATGTTTTTAAAGACATCCAACCAATATAAGTCAACGAATCAAATTACGATTCGATTGGGAGAAGGATTGGAATATGTAAAAAGACGGAGAATAGCTTAGCCCACTCCTGATCTTATCAATATGATTCGACCTCAAAAGCATTTGTTTTTTAACTCATTTGTTGAATATGCATAATTTTATTAACAAAGTCATTTTAATTATATTATATATTTTCAGTGCGCTTATGTATTTTTTACAATTTTTATATGGCAATATTAACAAAACACTTATATTCCTTTAGCATACCACTCTATTATTTCCAGAAAAAAGCTATTAAAATCTAAGACAAAAATAATTTAAGATCCTTTAGTTAAACATACATGATAGAGTAACCAAGGGATATATTTAAAAATGTTCCATTCTTATTATTAAACGAGAAATTAGCAGCCAAAAGTATGTTGTCCAGCATTGAACTTAATTTAAAAAACTTCCCCATAAATTTCATGGTGATCCCCAGTTTCATATAAAATAAAAACTATTGATTTTATTGTCTATCGATAGACAATCTATTTACGAATGAGGAATAAAGTCCCAATTTTTACCATGTTTTACAAAAGGATTGGAATTTTACTTGAGCATAAAATATCCTAAAAAAAATGAAAATAGATTTGCTCTTACCATTTCTTTGGCTACAATCAGAACCAAAAGTAAGGTCTTTGCTCGGAGAGCTCAATTGACTTGGTCAATGGATCAGCTGACTGTAAGTTCGTGCCTGAACTTCGGTTTGGGCCCGGCTCAGATCTTCGGCTTTTGCGATCCGCTCGCCACTCGAGCGCCGCTGTTTGTCGCTGGTGGACGCGGTTCGGTGGGCCTTCTGCTTATTTATTTGAATTCGTCTTCATTTTATTCAATTCGAGTTGAGTGTTGGTGATATTTAACCGCCCAAAGTGTCAATAAAAATCATAGCGATTGACAAATTTCCAGGATACGGATACAATGCGCTATTTATAATTGGTGGGTGGTGCAACGTATAACATTATGAAAGTGTGTTTGTGTATCTGAGATGTCGAGATAAAATTGCTTGCCTTCAAATTGTCAATTGCTGGTTAATGGGCAATCTGCAATCTCAAGAATCGGCTCTTTTGTTTTGGGCTGGCCAACGGCAGTGAGTGCATCGAATTGAATTGAATAATATGGATATGGATGTGCGGCACTGCTAAATGACTAAAAACGCTGCTCTCATGTAGATGTCTATCTGAGGTGGGCAAGGCATTTAAGCTGCCAGCGGATTAATCGCCGGCAGACAATCGTCGGCGGCCAAGGAGCTCCGCTTAATTGGTGGGACCACCCAATTCGCCCAGCTTTTGGGCCCTTTGACAAAACATCGGGCCATTGTTGGGATTGGTGATCTTACTTATTTGCCCACTTTGCCAAGCGGAGAGTTGGTCCACAGATTTCGCCACTAATCCAGCGGGGATCTCTCGGGGAATTGGCAGTGCCACCCGCATGCTCGCATGCCAAATATCGATCCCAATCGAGTCATATGCAGCACATGTATGCAAAGTGTTCCAGCGAAGTTGCTTGCAGTTGCCAGTCTTTTGGCCAAGATATACACTGAAAAAAAGTAACACGATTTTCCCAACAAAACTTCAAGTAGTTCCTATGATTTTTAGCGCCAAGAAACTTTTACAAGGTTATTAATTTGGTTACTTAATTTTCTTTAACGTAAAAACTGGATGGCGTTCTTCCCATAATTTCTGACATTTTTTTATTTCAATTCTAAATTATTATTATTACATTATATTTTCTTAAAATAATTTTATTATTGCAAAAATAAAAAAAAAAATATTCCTATTATCTTAGAATTATTAACTAAGTTGGAGGATACACAAAAAATATATTTCCTATTCTGAATTTCAAAAAATAAATAAGAAATATAAGAAATGGGATTTTAAAAACCCTTTGAAATCATTAACACATGAATGTTAGGTGTGAATTTGTATTTTTGTATAAATTTTTTGTTATTTCAAAGTTTTCTTTGAACATCAAAAATTAACAAAATAAAAAGCAGAATTAACAAAATTCACGGAAAGAATGTATGGCTGTGAAGGAAGAGCCATAGAAGCGACAAGTGCAATTGCCAAAGGGCCTGGCGCCGAAACCTGACCTCCGATCGGGTGTTAACCTTTCAAGGTGGTCAAAGGCCCCTTTTTCTGGCAATTCGCCTCGATTTTCGCTGAGTGGCAGTGGGGTGAATGAGTCACGAGTCAGGCATTTCCTCCAGTATCAGTTTGCCAACTCACCTCTCTCTCGTCTCCAGCTGTCTTGGAGGAAGACCACGGAATGGAGTCCAGCAGCAGTAGCGGTGCCGTCGTGGAGATGGAGTCCTCCAGTTCCGGTGATCACGGCCAGCCCACCCAGATCACCTCCATCGATGGCTTCTTCAATCGGAAACGAGGTCGTCCGCCAAAGAATCGCTTTGTGGAGGTCTACAAGAGCGTGAGTATCGGGAAACTATTAAGTATTGGTTTAATTATTTGGGTAAATTTTGTAATCTTTATATTTGACATATTTATTTTTTTAGTTCATGTTCATTTATATTTACAAGTTTTATAGAGCCATCTTTAAAATAAAATGTATACAAATTAATTAATTCCCTTATGTGAACAAGAATGTTTTATAATCATAACCAGAAAATATGTTTCGAAATAGAATAACCCCATTGGAATTAGAACCTTTTAGTCACAAACTTGAGGTCACCATTTTTAAAACAAAAAGTATTAAAACTAAATTTTGTTTATAAAATAAATTTATTTCAACAGCATACCAATAAAGTACGTTTCTAAAAGGTCTGATCAAATTGCAATTAAAGCTCCTTTATTGCTTTTTAAAATTTGTTATAAACCTTAATTATTTATTTGATTACATTGAAAAAAATGATCTCTTATTGCTTCTCAAAAATTATTTTATAAAAGTTTATGGCGCTTTTTAAATATAAATTGCCATTTTGTGAATGGTTTACGAGGTTCCGGGAGAAAATATTTACGAGGTTCTGGTGGAAATATTTGAGGACTGATTCGACCCAGTTGCTTGGTTCCTTTTCTGTCTGTCTGCGACCCGATCGGAGCTCCATCGTAATTAGGAATTTGCGCCTATTTGTGTGCAACGTCAGCCATTGAGCGCCCTGCCACGCCCCCCATCGCACCGCCCCCCTTAATTCCTCACCAATCGACGGGGCCTAATGCGGCATTTTGTGTGCTGTGCGTTGAATTGAGTTTTCGGATTTGGTTTTTGCCATATTCGTCATATTAATATTGACAACGAGTGTTTCCGCATTTATTTCATTTGCCCGTCTATCGTCGTCGACGGCACTTCTCTGGCCACTCCACCACCTGCCCCTTAGTCCACCCCCTTTTCACCACCCCCTCACCCAGCTCACCCCCCTCCCCCACAAAGCCCTTCCCCTAGCGACGATCGTTTTGTGCTTTTAACTGTCATTTTCATAATTTCTACATTTTTTCGAGCCAAGCTCATGCACACGCACCACATCGCACTTGTGTGTTTACGATTACCCAGCCCACGCGTCACTCTCCATGGTGATCACTGTGAACATGGCCAGTACACTGAAAAAATTAAGGTTATTTCCATACAATGTTATTAATAGAACTTTAACAGGCCCACCCAAAGATCTTTAGATGAAAAAAAACCATAATAAATGTACATTTTGAATCACATAAATATCTAATAGTTTACAAGTGCTATTTAAATTTCGAATAGGGTTACCAGAGTTTCAAAAGTTTTACAAATATATTGGGGTTAATTTTTTTTTTTTTTTTGGCTTAAATTTCTGTTATGTTCATTTTCTAAGATATTAAAATTATCTTAAGGGTAGCAAGACAAGACACTTTCTTTTCAGTGTACCGTCTGTGTGAATAAAAAAACAAATTTGAATAAATATTTTGTCCATTGCCATTTGCGGCATTCTTTTGGGAAGTAAGCCGAGCCAACTTAAAGGGGGGGAAAGGTGACCCAAATTGATCGCAGGAATCAAGGTGGTGCAACGACGGGTGAATCTCCTCTCACTCCACCACCCACCCACAATCTCTGCCAGCCCCTTTCGATAATCCCAAATGGCGATGGAAAGGAATGATATACAGCACTAACAATAGCAATAATAATAATAATAATTCCTATACACACTTGTATCGTATTTAATCAAATAAGGTGTGTGCTTATGTGTGTGAGCCACAACTTATCAGGCAAAGGCAAACTCGTTTCATTGTCTTTCAATATTTTCGGTGTAATTATTGTTATAATTGAGTATGAGAGTGTTAAATACTCTGCCTTAAGTGAAACCATTTTACTTTGGTGAAACAAAAGAAAAGTATTGAGAATTGTGGATTAAAATTTGTTTTATAATTGTCCCATTTTGTTTATAATAAATACCATTTTCAAGTCGGATTCGTTAAGGGTTTCAATTTTTCCCTATTTGGCAGAAATATTTCAATACCATTTTCGTAACACTATTTTTGGTTTTCTTTAGGGTATCAACTAGTTGCACTTGTGTTTGTAAAATTTAAATGGTGTCTCTTTTGTTTTTGCTTTTGGCTTTTTCACTTCACTCATTCTTTCTCTATATTTTTTTCGTTTTATTATTGATTTGATGCGTGAACAAAATTTAAATAGTGACATTTTGGGCCAACGACAAACATTAACAGTAATTTCGGAAATACGAGTAATAAACTGGTTGCGGCCGATTGTTTGTCATAAATCCAAAAATTAAAATCCGAAAACTATGACAATGACAACGGCAGCAAGTACGGCCCTGCCATGCCAAAGTAATTTAATTCCATGAAAGGCGCCCACATTGCTGCGTGGAATATTGTAGATAGATTTCGATTGTCAACAAATACAAAATAAAGAAACATTTTTGGTTTATTTTTTCCATTATTTCGATGCAGGCCCAGCACTCGCCGCAGGCCATCTTCACCAGTTTCAAACTGGAGAGGAGTGATCACCACTCGGTTCAGGGGACACCTGTTCCCAGTGGCTCCCATGTGGATAATGCCGAGGATCGCTTGTCTCTGGCGGATCACGACGGATCAGCCACTGATCTCAGAGCTAGTCGGAACCGGAAGCGGGGTCGTGTGTGGGCCCCATCATCAATTCCCCCATCGATCCCATCATCGGAGCAGTCGAGCAAGAGGAGTTGCATCCATGTGCCCCACTTGGCAGCGAGGAGTGAGACCCAGTCTCGGAGTAGCCGCAATGAGTCTTTAGCCCAGGTAATATTTTATTTGAAAATAACACAAATTTCAAAATATCTTAAATCGATATATTTAAAATAAACAGGCACCTGAATTAAACCTAGTAAAAGTATTTGTTAAATTAAAGTCATTAGCCCAGGTATTACTTTATTTGGAAATAAATCAAATTTGAAAATATCTTGAGTCGAGATATTTAAAAAAAAAGGCACATGAATAAATTCTTATAAAAACTAGTCAAAGAATTCCCTTAATTAAAGTCCTTAGCCTTGGAATAAACATAAATTTAAAAAAATATATTGAAAACGTTGTGTTATAGAAGAAATTAAAATATAACCAACGTATGACCTCGAGAAATCCAATAGCTATAATTATTGATTCGAGATATTTAATATGTACAGGCACATTAATAAAACCATTAAATTATAACTTATATTTTACTTTAGCCTTATTACCCTCAATTTATCTAATAAAATACAAAAAATTCCTTTTGATTATTACAAAAATTTCATAATTTTATGTTTAATTTATTTTTTCAGCCCTCTTTACAGCCTTTAGAACCTACAGAAACAGGAACATCGAAGAATCTATCGAGCAGAGCTCTGGATAAAGTTTCAGGTGAGTTTCTTACAAAAGATTAAAAATCTATTAAAAATTTCTTTGGAAAAAAATCTGAGAATAAGAATTTTGTGAAGAGTACTATGTATATTTAGAGGAATTTTGAGTCTTTCTAAAAAGATGAACAGCTAATTAGGCCTGTTGAAGAAGGCAAAGGATTAAAATGTATTGCTCAAAATTTTAGTTACTTAGGAGTCGTTTAAATCTGGCTTCATTTGGCTTGATTTTCAACGATTTTTTGCATAGGTCTATAAACAAATCTTTGCAAATAAGAATAGGAAAATCGTAATTTCGAATTGAGCTTTTATTTTATATATATTTAAATCGGATAGATTGGCGTTTTTTTTATGTTTCTTGTATGTCAATTCTAAGTTATTCATTTGTTGCTTTAAAAACATATGCATAATCATTATTTACAGTCCCTGTAATTATTCATACATATTTAAATTACTTAGCCTTCTTAACATTGTTTTTCGTAAAATTTAATTTATTTAACAATGTCTTTCTCACCCAACAAAAGTTGTTCGTGCGGCGGGAACTTTTTATCCGGAGAATGCGAGTTCAGCTTCGCATCGGGAAGCGCCAGAGGCAGCTGGCTCGAGGTTCCTCAGTCGCCAGGAGTCGGCGGACTTGGAGGTGGACCAGCCGGAGGATCTGAGCATGCGTCCATCCCTTCCAGAGGCAACTGCCACTGCGTCGGAAGTGGCACCAGCTTTAAATATGAATCTGCTGCAGTTCAAGCAACTGATCGATTTGTACCAGCGACAGGTGTTATTGCCCAGTTTCCTGGCCGCCGCCACTCAACCTATGGCTTTACCAGGATCAGGATCGGGATCGGGAACAGGATCCATATCCGGACCACTACTCGATATGCGAATTTTGCTGGAGAATGCCGCCCATCAAAAGTTGCTACTCCTCAATGCAGCTGCAAATGCAACGGCATCAGTTGTGGCAACTTCTACAGTGGACTCTGGACAGCGGAATACGGTGAAGAGGATCCGGGATCACGACATTCCCACTGGCTACCTGAAGTTCCGCTTCAACGAGGATTGCGGCTTCGAAAGGTGCGGCTATCGGAACCATCAGTCGCACTTCCATTGCAACCGGCGAGATTGCCACTACAGTTTCTGCGACAAAACGCGGTTCGTGCAACATACGGCTCGCCACGAACGGATGGACACGCTGATGGGCGACGACTTCCACCAGTTCCGGGCCAACATGCAGTGCGGGGTCGCCAACTGCTCGTACTCCGCTTCAGGAGGAGGAGCCACGGAGTCCACCCACCTAAATAGGAACGGTAAGTCATCCTATAAGTTCTTTTCTTTTGGAAAGATTTGTTTTTCTTTCTAAAACTATATTAACTGAAATAAGAGTCATAAGAGACATGTCCTGCCTGAATAACTATCGTTACCTTTAACTTTAAATGTTTAAAGTGTTTTCTAAAATAAACAAAAGAATTTTTGTTCGCTCAGTTGAAAAATAAAAAAAGATTTCAAATATGAACTAGAATTCCAAGTCGGTAGCCTTGGTCGTTCGGTAGTGTTTTTATTGTCAATCCTAATTTGGCCAACCGCAAAACCACTCCCAAGTATTAAAGTATTTAATTTAAAATTTAGAAAACTTCATCAAGAGCTTGCAAAAACTTGGTTGAACTAAGGAATTAAATTTGGATTTAACCGGAAAGCGAAGGGGTCAATTATGGTAGATTTCCCAAATTCATGTTTAGTTTTTGACATTGATTTCTAACTAAATTATTACTTTACTTTCTAAATTCCATGTTCGAGCTTATATTTTTGAAAATCGTTAACTGAGATAATGACGAAGAAAAGTTTGACTATTTTTAGATTTAGCCTTTGCCCTTTCTTTTCGATTTGTTTAATAAGACATTGAGGAATCAAAGTGGTTTTTCACACAGATAAACAACTAGAACCCTAGACTGCAGATTGTGAAAATCACTCCAGTCTCTTGGTTATTTAAGTTTATAAGCCTAAGTGCTTTTTATAATCTATCTGATGCTCAAACTCCATTTCTCCTCCCGCAGATGCAACAGAGACGGGCTTAAGTGGGGCAGCCTCCAGGAAGACGTCCCACTTCCACTGCCGCAAGTGCGACTACGTGTGCACGGACTCCAACAAGGTGGTGGCCCACCGGCGATTGCACCTCCGCCAGGATTACGTCCGGAGTGCCGGATTCCGCAAGGTGGGCGGAAACGAGCCGTGCGATTCACCAGGTTGCTCATACGCCCTGCGGCACACCCACTACCACTGCGTCACCTGCGACGGAGGAGTCCTTTCGCGGGCCCAACTCGCGGCCCACAAACACCGGACACTGCTTCCCAAACAGGATGCGGATACCACTCCCACTCCCTAGCGAAAACTATAACAAATACCCAGACACAAGAAAGTCCGTCATATAAAATAATAAATAAAAGTCATGAATCATGGTTAAGCCTTGATGTATTCCTTCTTACATTAAAATTAATACTCTCAAAGTGGTAAAAATTATTGATTATCTAAGAACAATATGTTGGGAAAGGTATGTTTGGATTAATAGTTGAGCTAAAATTAAAATTATATAACTAAATGGTTGACTTTTTTTCTTGTAATTACCTCTAAAACTTTCGTAAAATAGAAAAGAACAGTTTAAAAGTTTTAACATAGCTTGTTGAAATGTAAATAATCTCGACAAATTCATAGGAAATTACACGTTTTGTTTTTGACAAGCAATTTTATTTTACTTCGATTAAAAAAACATACAATCTTTGTTATTAGGTTTATATTTATTAATGCTCACTCTTTTAAGAGAAATATCCTGAAAGCCCTCGTTGTTGTTTAACAATGAGGTAACCTTATAAAAATAACTATGTCTTGTTTATAATATAAAATATAGTAGTGCAAACATAGGCAATGACTGGCCTACGTTATAGTTATTTTAAAAGCCCAGGCAAAGTCGAGACCTCGCTTGTCAATATGATGTTTTGGGGGAAACTCAATGTGCAATCTGTTATGATCCGAAGTCCACTAAAGATAGAAAAAATGTTAAAATAATCCTTTATAACATAACAACCAATATTATTCTTACATTAATTTTGGTGTCCTCCATGCCCAACATAACGACCTGAGTGCTCTGATGATTAAGGATCTCTCCACCGGTGCCCAAATCGATTCCGGTCAACAAAACATTGCGGAATATATTAATTTCCTTGCCGAGTGGATAAATATCCAGCTCATTGGTGTCGTAAGGATATTCAAGAACAAATGCGTATACGGTAACGTTGCCATTTGAGGAGTTCTGCCTTTGTGTGTACCAAACATTGGGTGTCACAGTGTCGTTCTGGTAAATCCAGGGCACACTGCCGTAGATTGCCTCGCCATTGGTCTTCAGCCAGCGACCCATGTCCCTCAGACGCTCCTCGAAAATTGGCAATATAGTGCCGTACTTGGTGGGTCCCACATTGATCAGGACATTGCCATTGCAGCTGACAGTGGTTACAATTTCTAAAGGAATCAAAATTAGCTATAAGAAAATATGACAAATTGTAGAACTCACCTTTAATGACTTCCTTGGAGGTCATAAAATCGGATAAACTAACATCGAAGCGTTGTCCCCAGCTTTTTCGGTCCAGGGTGAAGGCATTCTCCCATTTGTGAGCCTGCAGGATGCCAGGATTAAAGCGATCGGCGCAGTTGTAGAAGTCGCCGTGCATGCAGGCAGTGCCAAAGCCCCAGCGATCGTTGGTCACCACCGTGTCCCTCACAGGACTATCGTTGTACAGCCAGGCGATGAACTCCTCGGAACGCCAGTACTTGGCCGGAGCCTCCCAATCGCCATCCGACCAAATGATCTCCGGCAGATACTGCTCCACCAGCTCCATTTGCTCCGGACGCACCTTCCGCTCCACAAAGTGCTGCTGCATCAGCAGGTGCAACTTGTCGTCGGTCCACAATGGGTTGAACCACTCGAACAGGGAATAGTACAGGCCGAACTTCAGATCGGACTCCTTTCGTACGGCGGCTGCCAATTCCTCTGGAAAGGAGAAATAAATGTGTGAGTTTAGACTTTTAATTCAAATTACAAATAAATACATTATACATTTTAAAACTGATTTAACAATTTAACAGAGGCAAGGTAACCAAATAACTTAAACATAAATGTAAAAATCTTTTTAGTGTTTTGCAAAATAAACACTCAAAACAATTTAAAAAACAAGAGAGAACGCTATAGTCGGGTGCCCCGACTATCAGATACCCGTTACTCAGGTAAAGGGAGTGCGAGGGAGATGGAGATAGAAACTTTGATCACGCATAACTTTTTAACGAATGGTCCGACTTGAAAAAGTTCTTCTACATTTCGATAGGTATTGATAAACACAATAAAACTGCATTTTTACTTTTCCGAAATATTTAAATTTTTAAAATCGTATATAAGCGATTGTGGGCGTTAAAGGGGGCGTGGCACCTTTTTGAAACAAACTTGCCCTGCGTAGGAACTCCTAGAATCTGCATGCAAAATGCCAATCTTCTAGCTTTTATAGTTTCCGAGATCTCAGCGTTCATACGGACAGACAGACGGACAGACGGACATGGCTATATCGACTCGGCTAGTGACCCTGATCAAGAATATATATACTTTATAGGGTCGGAAACGCTTCCTTCTAGCTGTTACATACTTTTGCACGAATACAATATACCCTTTTACTCTACGAGTAACGGGTATAATTATTTTTAAATATCATTTAGAACTTCTTTGCTTAATGGATAATAAATTATAAATTATAAATATAAATTATATTATAATTATATAATAATAATTGCGAACTAAAATTTTGATAAATTTAATTGTTTATGCCATCTCAGGTTGTATATATTTTATATATATTTTTTTATAACTGTTATATACATAAGCGCATGCTGTCATTAATACATGTTTTTTTTTTAACTCAGTTAAAATATGGCGCACGGCCCAAAAAGTAATTGTTGTGGACAGCTGAGGACCTGAACTATCAATTCTAAGTTGATTTGCAAAAATTTATTTTTTGACCAAAATTGTATTTATTTTCTTATTTTTTATAATGTCGATTTTTTGTGAAAAATTTCCTAAAATGAAATTTTTCAGCTGTGAATGCCAATCTATTTGAAATTTTATAACGAAATTAGCGAACTTATGACATTCCAACATAAGTCAATTATTTCTAACCGTTTTGATAAAAAATTCATAGCTCGAGTTGTTTCGTATTTTAGGATATAAAAATTAATATTGTAGGTATTTTTATACCCGTTACTCGTAGAGTAAAAGGGTATATTGTATTCGTGCAAAAGTATGTAACAGCTAGAAGGAAGCGTTTCCGACCCTATAAAGTATATATATTCTTGATCAGGGTCACTAGCCGAGTCGATATAGCCATGTCCGTCTGTCCGTCTGTCTGTCCGTCTGTCCGTCTGTCTGTCCGTATGAACGCTGAGATCTCGGAAACTATAAAAGCTAGAAGATTGGAATTTTGCATGTAGATTTAAGAAGTTCCTACGCAGCGCAAGTTTGTTTCAAAAAGGTGCCACGCCCCCTTTAACGCCCACAATCGCTTATATACGATTTTAAAAATTTAAATATTTCGGAAAAGTAAAAATGCAGTTTTATTGTGTTTATCAATACCTATCGAAATGTAGAAGAAATTTTTCAAATCGGACCATTCGTTAAAAAGTTATGCGTGATCAAAGTTTCTATCTCCATCTCCCTCGCACTCCCTTTACCTGAGTAACGGGTATCTGATAGTCGGGGCACCCGACTATAGCGTTCTCTCCTGTTTGCTCTAGATTTGCCAATGTAATTAGTCAATTTTAAGCATACTATACTTGCTATATTTGCTCTCCTTCCTTACAATATTATCTATCAAAAGACCCACTTACTGATTATGTCCCGCTTGGGTCCCACATCCACGGAGTTCCATCCGAAGCTGCTCTTCGAGGGCCACAGCGTGAAGCCATCGTGATGTTTGCTGGTGAGCACTACGTATCTAGATAGTGACGAGAGTTAACGATCGGAGGGATATATACGATAACAATATATGTGTGTGAGTACCTGGCTCCGCTATCTCTGAAGAGTAACGCCCACTGAGTGGCATTGAATAGCTCCGCAGTGAATTGGTCGGCGAATTCCTGATAAGTGAAGTCGGGCTTGTAATTACGTTGCATGAATCGAATGTAGTCCGGATTGCGGAGATCTGAAAGGGATCAAGCCAATTAACTAATTAGTTTTGGGATTTTTAAATTACTATATAAATAAATCATACCAAAAAAAGTATTTAATTAAATATAATAAATGTAACACTCCATTAAGCAAATAAATATTTCTAAGTAGTAAAATATTTATGTTACTCAAAAAGATTCTATTTAAACTTGAAATAACTACCGAAAACTTTAATTATTTAAGAAATTAATAATTAAGTAATTAGTAAACTACTTTTTCCGTTGATTCCAAATGATATTCTAAGATTTTTTGATTTAGTTATTAGTCTTAACCCATAATATTATTATTCTATAGATTGATCGTACTTTTCCAGTTAGTCCAGAACCACTCGGAACCAAAGCTGGGCACCGAGTAGACACCGTAGTGCAGGAAGATGCCCACCTTGGCCTCGTCGTACCATTGGGGCAGTGGTCTCTGGTCCAGACTGGCCCAATTGGGCTGATATCGAGTGCGTGGACCCGGCACCTGTGCCTCCACCTCCGCTCCAGATCGCCATGCGATCAGTGCCAACAGAAGCGTCCAAGCGGCGATTGCCATTTCCTCAATTAGCCGGTGATCTGATTTTCCGCTGATTCTAAAGCGACTGCCTCGTTTCGTGATCCAAACACAACTGAGTATTGTGTGCGGAAAACGATTCTCTCTGAAAGTCCGGCTTCTCCAGCTGAATTATATAGCTTCTGTGGGATGTGCTCACTTCTAAAGAGGGATAAACAAAAAGCTACACTTTAAAGAATAACTGACATTTTCCTAAAATAGCTAAATTGTTTTATATAGTTTTATTAAGTAAAATTAATAAATAAATATTAATACCAAACAAATATTTAATAATGTTACAAAATATAATTATAAAATATTTGTACTAAATATAATTAGTATAATTTAATTTAATTTAAGTAAGAACATTACTTTAAATACAATACACTTTTTAAGTTTATTTTGGTTTTTTTTTCAGTGTTTTCAATACTTTGTGAGTGCCAAAATGTTGATAAGAACTCAAAATACTGTTCGCCACAAGTCTTGTTTATCAGCATTTCTAATTTGTAAACAGGTTTGGTAGCGGCCAAACAAATATTATAAGTGAACTAGTAAACAAAGCACCCTGTAACATTTAAAGGCATCTTATCTTAAATGTTTTTAAAACAATAAACGTATTACACTTTGTTCGTAAAGTATTGTATTTTGTATTGTATGGCATTTAAGAATTTGTTGTTCGTTTTTGAATAACAAAATTAAAACAGATGTTTCTTATGATTATATAAGCATATTATGTTGAAGTACTTCAAAATATAAATAAATAATTTTGATAGCCTACTTAAGGTGCATTTAAGCCATGTTGGAAAAAATGTAAGTGAAAAAATACTGGTCCTTAGTATAAAAACAGCGGGGCATCTTTAAAATCCCGCCCTTCCCAAAGCGAAAATAAATTCTTATGACTGTATTAGGTGTATTTGGGAATGAAACCATATATATATACATGTTAAATCCAAGATTAGATGTCACAATGTGCTGACCAGGCGCGATATCGTCGACTGGATCGGGGAGAATGGGCGTAGTGCGAAGTTAGGGAAGTTGTGGTTGGTTCCTCGCGGATCAAGGTTCCACCCAGAGTGACCACGCGTCGGGATTCGGAGAGAAGAGGTGTCAGCTCCGAGGGGGATCCCACCTTGAGTTGGTGTTCCTCTCGAGCCAAAACGCAATTCTGAGCGATTTGATACATATGATCGTACTTCTCAGCCAGGCTAAGAAATCTGGACTTTCCGGGACCCTCATAAAACTCTTTGGGCGAGAATTTACCAAACTCAATTAGGCCAATCAGATCGTTCACATAGTTTGGCTTCTTGTCCTCCTTGTTGAGGATGGAGGAACTGCATCCGATTGGAAGGCAGCTGGTCGAGGGTTGCTCCATTGATAGGTTTTCCAAATCATTGGCTGTACCAGAATCTTCCGCATTTACCACCTGAGTTGCGCTTTCAGCTTCCTCGATGCCATTATATTTGAGATACATTTCCAGCAATCGAAAACGATCCGCTTCGGATATTTTGCCAGCAATCACTTCGATATAATGCTTGAAGACCTCCCAGTTGAATTCGTATACGCCCGAGTGGTCCAGGGTGCTCTTAAAGGTGACCTTCAGCTCCCAGGCCATCTGGTCTATCAGCGATTTCCTATTCAATCGATGGGCGACCTGGAACAGACGAAGTAACTCCCCCATGTCAAAGGTGTCCTTCCGCATCATCAGCTCCGTCACACAGTCCTCCTCGAGGGATTGCACCAGATATTTGTTGCCAAATTCACTGAGTCGAGTTAGGGTATCAAAATCATACTTCTGCAGCTTGTCGTACTCATAGCCGTAGACATAGTCACGGAACTTCTCGAATATCTCCGGATCTACATCGTTTAGCCGGACTACCCCACTGGTGGACTCATTGTAGTCGCCATAAAGCATCCGGTCGAAGACGTCGGAGGCGCAGCTAAATATCAGTTTGTGGCAGGGAAAGGATTTACTAGTACCATTCTCCTGTTCGATTATAAAACTGCAGTCCGTGTGGCGATTGCTGCGACCTAACTCAACGAGGGAACCACGCAACCTGGGATTTGGGTATTTACTACTACTTATACTATTGAACTTAATCGAAGTTCCATCTCTTACCAGGTACACATCTTAACCAGGACGATTCAGCTATGTCCTTCGATTTCAAACAATAAATTTAGTCTTTAAAATGTATTCTGTTTGAGATGTCGAAATGAGTGTGCTAACTGAATGATTGTATAGTGATGTTTAATGCTATGAAAAATGACTTGAACCTTAAACTACTAAAAAGCATTGAAGCAATTTTTTTTCAGTTTCATCGAAGGTCAAAAAAGGCGATAACTGGAGTTACTGGAGTTAATTTGGAGTTACCAATACTGTCTTTTTTCCCAGAATTTATTCCTTAGTATAACATCAGATCATTAAATTGCTATACTAATTATTGCTATTACCTTTCAGTTCTATGAAAAGTTTTTAAGCAATAGAAAAGAGTTTAGTATTCCCATTGCTGTCTTTTCACCCAACTTATATATCATAATAAAACATCACATCTCAATTGAACATAACAGTTTATTTTATTATCTTCTCTCATGCTTTTGCCATGTTTGCATTTATTTGTTTTTTTTTGCTGACTTAAAAGGTTTGTCTTTGCATTCAATTTCATTTCCACCTGTATTCTATTAATAACTCACATACCTACATATAAATACATGTATCTTTTGCCTTGTGTTTTTTTTTTGTTTGAGTTCATTTCATCGCATTCAAAGTTCAACAGATTGAAAGTGTGTGTTTTCTTTAGGAGTATAGTGTGTGTTTTGTAGCTTAGGTCTGGACAGTAGTTTAGTGAAACTGGAGTGGATCAAGTTGCATTTATCTACATCGGGACAGGTGAATCATTGTAATACATAAAATTTGATTCTAATATTCTACTCTGAACGCGTCTGTTTCTAAAGTAAGTTTCCTTCATTGCCATTTGTTTTTCGCTATGGGTTAATAACACAACACAATACAGCACAACATACAAGTCCCTTCTGTTTATTTGCATAGAAATCCGAAGCATTGTGTTTCACTATATTTATTATTTAATGTTTCCAATCATTATAAACTTGGTTTAAAATTGCCATACTTTAACAATGTGTGGATCCCAAACTGAGTGGGTTGTATTGAAGTGTGTGGTACGTAAGTTGTGAAATATTCGGTGCATACCGTTAGGCGAATGTTCGCAGTTCGTGAAGGTGATTTTTCGGTGCATTCTTTTAGGCTGGCTGTGCCGAGTACACTGCTAGAATACTAGTAGAATATGGTGTGTCTAATGTTCCTGAACAATTGAACCAGTTTACGCTCTATTTTAAAATGTGACTCTGCTAAGGCTTATGCCAAAACAAAAATTTTGGAAAAACTATTTGTACCGTTAAATAATTAAAAAAAAATCACAATCAGCTAATTTTATGATTAAAAAAATAAATACTTAATTAAAGAACCGAAATCCTTAGTGGAAAGGTGTAAAAGTTTCTCTCCTAGCAAAACAAAAAGTTAAAGAAACATAATACTTTTATAAGATAGGCATTAAAAAAAAGACTAAAAAGCCCTCCAAAAAACATTATCTTCCAGTTGCTTTTCTAAAAGTGACATTTTACCAATTTTTGGAGTAGTTCAAAACTCTTTATTATTATTTAAGCCTTGAAGGCGTTGACTTTTCATTTGCACTCAGGCTTTTCAGTCAGGACATTTTATTTGTTTGTAGAAGAGGAAGGTTAAAATACGTGTAAAGCATAAGCACGCGACAACTCTAAACTCTATGCTTGCAGCTCTCTTCTTTCTTCTTTTATCTTTCTTCTTTCTCTTCCTCTGTCTCTATACAATAAGTACATATCTAAATCAACGTTACGGAACTACGATGCCAACTTCGATTAGCTATTCAATAAGTTTGTAGCTTGTGTGTCATTTATGTAATGGCTGCTTGTTGTTTGCAATTAGCTGTTTTTGCATTTTAATGTTTTCTCTTTTTTTTTATTATTTTTACAATATTTTCAACTTTAGGATCATAGAAGTAACATTAAATAACATTTTTGCGTAAATCTAGTATTTCTAATGTTTTTTGTTGTTGCTGTTGTTGCTGCTACTGCTGCTGCTGTTGCTGTTGCTCTTTTCGTAGCTACTACCCCACTATGCCGTGGTGGTTGAGGATGCTGCTGCAGTGGCTCCGCCGGTGGCTACACCTCCTGTTGCTGCACCACCACCGCCTGCTGCATTGCACTGGATAAGCCCACTGTGCTGATGCTGCTGCGCCGCCGCATGATGATGATGGCCATGGTGTCCATGATGGTGATGGTGGTGATGGTTCAAGTGATTATTGTTATTATTGTTGCTAAAGTTTAAATGTAGTGCGCCCGCGCCGTTGTTCAGAGCGGCAGCATCCGTGCCGCCAATCCCTGTCGACACACCCCCACCCGCCGCAGCTGCCGCCGCCGCCGACGCCTGAGGAACCGCCGAGGTGCAGTAGCGCGTTGTATCACCAAATTCGCCGCTGGTCAGGTCGCCCAGTATGCCGCCCAGCAGTCCGCTGCTCCCAGCCGGCTTGCAGCCCGCTCCCGCCTCCGGTTGCGTGCAGATCGGCGGCGCCACCGCATCGCCATCGATGAGGGAAACGGATGCCGAGGCTGAGGCCGAGGCGGATGTGCTGCCATTGTTGCTTTGTGAATTGACGATGTGCAACGCCTCCGCCGAAGAGGTGCTGTTGCTGTTGCTGCTGCTGTTGTGATGCTGCTGCTGCTGAGGCGACTGGTGTTGCAGGTCACCAGCGGTTGCTGAGGAGGTGTGCTCATTAACCAACGACGACGAGGAGGTGGCATCCTGGCCAACAGTGTCGTCGGTGAGGCGCAGGGCCACCTCAAGGTCGCGCAGCACATCCGTCTCCTTCTCGTCAATCAGGTTGAAGCGCCGATGCAGGGCGGTGAGGTGCGCGAACGTCAGATTTAGATGGGTGTGCAAGCCGAGCAGCGCGATTTCTCGGAAATGCGCCGCATACAGATGCGCTATCACATGAAATTGCAAGCGTAGTATCTTCCGCGCGATCGACTCAAACGAGCCGGGGAACTCGTTGGCGTATTTGGTTGGGAATATCGACTCATCGCTGACCGTCTTCTGGGTGAACGTCATCACATAGTCGATGTACTGTGGAGCTGCGACGCGCGTCTTCTTGCCCTTCTCGTCGAACCATAAGTACGTTCTGTGGGAAAATACATATTGTTATTGTATTCAATGAAATCAGTAGCTATTTGCAGCACTCACCTGTTGCCGGGTCCGGTCATGTCGGCGCAACCGGATTGTGTACAAAATTCACTAATAGTTCCATAAACCAAATTCACATGCTCAAATAGAGCCAGAGCTGAAATGAAGAAAAAAGTAATCATAATTATTAGAATTTTCATAAACATGCCCATGAGAATAATAAATAAGTATGTTAGGTTCGGGTCCCATTTAAAAAAAATCATATCGTAAGCAACATTTAAGTGAACAGTAATCTTAAACGTTACTGAATATTAGATCTTTTTCAGGGAGATTATTTGAAAATGTTTGTATTTGATTGCCTTCCGATTTCAAAGCAAGATAAATATAATCATGGATCGATCTATAAGCATTTCCAAGGGAAACAAACTACAATAATAAGTCAACAACCTGCTAAATAATTGCCACCTCTTCGGCGAACAAAAGCGAGCAAAGAGATAACTTCCAATCTTATCATCGAAAAGGGACAGCTGCCGTTTGTATTGGTTTCTTTCAGTGTCTGGTGCTCAGAGATAAGAGCCAGCCGGGAGCACACGATGATATTTATTGAGCGGAACCACCCGGGGTAAGGTCAATGACGACTCAATATTTGCACAAGTGTCCTCATTACGTCAGTCAGAGAGAGCTGCATTATGAAATGCCAGCAGAATTGGAGCAAAATAAGCAAAAGTCTTAACTCGGTTTTCTTAGCCCAGTTCGAAGCTAAACGAAGGGAGTCAAGGGGATGATGCCTGTGAAGTCAGCAAATTCAAATATTAAATTTGCATATGAACTTGCAGCTGACGCCATCGGGCGACGTGAAATGACCCTGATCATCGCCCACGACAAACAGTTTGGCTTTGATTGTTTTTCCAAAACGAAGGGAAGATAATGAAGAGATGGAGGAGGAGGAGGTGGAAAAGGAGGAAGAGGAGGAGGTGGAAAAGGGGGAAGAAGAGTAGGTGAAAGAGGAGGAGGAGGAAGAGGGCTGAGGGATTGCTTTGGTGGCTACAATTTGCTGATACATTGCCAATTATTTGCCTCATTTGAGTCAACAAAGAACTGTGTAATTTGCATTCTGCCACCCAGCAGCAAACAGATTATTTACAAGATGATGTAATTTTTCGAAATCGATTCTGTTCTCCTAAAATGATGATGTAACCGAAAAGATTCCCTCAGGCGGAGGAGCAAACAACTAATTAAGAAATGACTCACAGTATTTTGGCTTACGATGGTACTAAACGTCTATTAAATGTAATTAAAGTAGAGGAGGCGATTTCATTATCCAAAATATTATTCATCTTTCAAAATGGTTACAGTCCCCTTTATTAATATTTCAAAAATTAATTTATTGTCAATAATTGCCTTAAGATTATAAATCTGATATACTTTTATTTATCCACCTAATTAAAAATTAAATAAAAACTTTTTCCGATTGTTTCAGTCATTCATTTGGTCATTCAATGGTTACAATCCCCTTTATTAATATTTCAAAAATTAATTAATTGCTTTAAGATTATAAATCTGATATACTTTGATTTGTCCACCTAATTTGAAGAATAGCAAAGCTTTTCGGAACAAAGCAATCTGATCTTTCTATATGGGTTAGCCCCCTGCCCTTCTTAAAATGCATTTAGATAAAGCTATCGCCCAGACAGAAGTCTTCTGTTCAAGTTCATTGGCTGGAAGATAATGTATAGTGCACCGTCCAGACTTGATCATAAATCGGGGCACTCAACCAGAGCCACTGAGTGCCGGTGGCGATTAGACTATCAAACTTTTGCCAAACAGCAGCTGACATCGCTTGAGGCCAGTCGCTCGTTAAAGTCATTTGTAAATCGCACGATAAAGCTGGCAACAATAGGGACAAATGACAGATGTGAGAGTGAATGAAAGCAATTTGGAATGGAAATCAGAATACAGAATACAGAAAGTCACGTGAAGTTTGTAAATCGTAAATTGGGGGTGGTGGTTATGGCAGTATTCATTTCTTTAAGTTGCCATATTTTTTTAGAATTTGTTTCTAGCTATTGATACTTATGAAATTACAACTTACTGTGTGACGCTAGCCATTCATTGTAGTCCAAACCAGCTGGAAGATCCACTAAGGCTTTGAGATCAGCTTCAGGTAATTTACGTTCTAGGACACTCTCCTCCAAATACAATTTGGTGTCTGTTGAATTTTGATCGCCATCGCGTTCCTTGCGACGGGCCTTGCTGTAAATATATAAAATAAAAGACTTCAATTAAATGATGATCGAAAAGAGTAAGGGTATTTATTTGTATTTTGTGGATTAATGGTTTTAGAGTAGTTCTGTAAAGGAGTCTCACCCAGCTACGCATAGAAAACTATCGACAGAGTCCTGAGCATATCGGTACAGGGTACCTATGGTATCACCGATTTTAGAGGGTATTGTCGTCACTTGCCACATAAAACGCGCCGTTCTCAACAGACATTTAATTACATAAGAAGTTTGGGGCGGTGGGGGCGATGCGGTGGTAGTTGTTGATATTGTTGAGGTCGACGTTGATGGCGAACTTTTCAGTTTTCTCTTTGGATCCGATTCAGATACAAACGTTACTCCTATTTTTATTGGCACCTTTGAGCTTAGAGTTTCTTTCATTTTTTGGTATTGTTTACGTTGCTTTGGTCATCTTGCCTCCTGCGATCCGCAATGGAAACCAATTAGTACACAAAACGAACCCAACCGAATCGAAAACTCAAGTGACTCGCTTGAAAAATGTGACACTCGACCCGATCCAAAAAAAAAGAACTAATGGTAGAGAGAACCAAATGGAAAACAACAAGCTACTTAATATTTTCTATGCTGGGGTAAGGGCTTCGAGCACTAAAAGATTAAAATATCTAACAAAAAAAAAAAACCACAAGAAAAAATTTAAAAAAGAGAAAAACCTGCTTTAAAACTTTAAAAATATACTAAATCGATTTAAAAGAAGAGTAATTTTAATTCGCAAATATCCTCTAAAGACGGCAAAAACCTTATGCTTGAGCAAATATTTTGCACACGCGTAAGTTAAAAAGTCCGAATTTAGTGAGGAAAGACTGGCACGTTTTAATTTTGTTTGCAGAGCTCAAAACGACTGGTGTTCAAGCCTATTTACATTTCCAACGAATGGTTTTTAATCCATTTTTAAAATGCACTGTGCAAACTTAAGCTGGTTGGGGTCCTATAAAAGCGAAGGACTCCGTCAAGGGAGGTATCAGTTTGCAGATTCACCTTAAAAGAACTAAATTGCATTTAATTTATATACATCGAAAATGAAATCGACAATTTTTGGTAGGTAGACAACATCCCTATTTGAAGGATCTCACTTTAAAAATTTAATTGCAATGAAATGGCAACAGGATTATTTAAATAATATATAATCAGGAGGAGTGAGAATAATTCGTTTTGCTTTATGTGTTTTCTTGTAGCTGGAATCCTGCTTATTAGCTTGGTAGGATACACCACGGGAAATTCATGTGGATGTACGGAACCAGCGCCGACTACAACCACATGTGCTCCAACAACCACTACAACAACTTGTGCTCCAACAACCACTACAACAACATGTGCTCCAACAACCACTACAACAACTTGTGCTCCAACAACCACTACAACTACGACGACAACAACTACGACAACATGTGCTCCAACAACCACGACGACAACCACTCAAAGGACCACCACTTGCGCTCCAACAACCACGACGACAACCACCAAAAAGACCACAACTTGTGCTCCAACAACCACGACGACAACCACTAAAAAGACCACATCTTGTGCTCCAACAACCACGACAACAACCACCAAAAAGACTACGACTTGTGCTCCAACAACCACGACAACAACCACCAAAAAGTCCACAACAACAACCACTTGTGCTCCAACAACAACTCCTAAGACTACAACAACTACACGTGCGCCAGTGACCACCACCACCAAAAAGGCAACAACCACTCGAAAGACAACTCGCAGGACCACTCGAAGGACAACTCGAAAGCCATGCAGTTGCGGATGCGGTCCAGGTGGTGTTAAATGCGAAGGATGCCCTGAAAGGGAATCACTCTGCCAGGAACTCATCAATATAGTCCGCCTTCTCGATCGCAGAATCCGCCAGTGCGTTTGCGGTCAAAAGGAGTGGAGTTTGTAAGTCAACCCAATTTCATTTATAAAAACTTAATCCTTTTCGACTAAACATCACCTAAGGACTCCGACTTGGACCACATTTATATAATAGATCTTTTTAATTATACTAATATTTATTACAATTTGTTAAAGATTTGTTGAATTTGCCTATTGACTATTAACAAAATAAAAAAATGAAAATGAATAAAGGAACATTTCAGTTACAATTTAGTATTTATATATTCCATTCGAGTATAAGCTGGGTATATTTTCTGAGTAATTAATAAATTCTACAATTAAAATTCTATGTATCACAGAGAATAAATAAGAGTTAGAAGAACACGTGCCTTCTTCATTATTAGATACACAGAAAGCATAATGCTTATCAAAACTAAGAATCAACAAGTCTTTTCATATTTGTATTCATATTACTTTTATTTATACAAAGAACCAAAAAAAGGTGCGTAGTCCATGAATGCTCGTGTTCATGGGCATAGCGAAGTTAAAATAAATTTATCAGTGGACCGGAGAGTCAGTGGCAAAAGCGGCTCTTTAGGCATTTAAACAAATAAACTTAGTTTGTGATTATCATTAGCCACCCACCGTCTGCTGCTCCCGCATGATATCACTGAAGCGTGCTGATAAAACTCGAAATGCCTAATCACATATGTATATAGTCGGTTATATAGAAATCGTGTGTACATATGTGGATATCAGACAATTGTGCGCATTTGTTTTCCATTATTTGCTGGGAGGCGGCGAGGCGTGGCGCCCACAGGTAAAGTACATTTAACCCCACAGACAACTTCCCAGTTCAGTTGTTCTGCAAAAAAAAAAATGTAAATCCACCCGCATTTAAGAGCCAGATGGAGTGGCTTAAAGTGCGGGTGTTAGCGGTGGCACTCTAAGTAATAGTTATTCCAACCATTGCCAAATAAAGCCAAGGACCCACCATTACCTATCGATCTATGGTACCTTCGTTCTGTCGCACAAAATTTGCGTGACAGGTCAAAGGCGACGAAAGGTCGTTCTGAATGGCTTGTGCTCGAGTCTCAATTTAAATGCCCTGCCGGATGTTGCCTGCGATGGCACACTAAGATTGTCGGAACTTAAGGCGCCCCAAAGTAAACCTTGTAATCGAGGACGCAGAGCACTCGCTTCAGTTGAATTTAACCCTTAGATTCCCTCAAGTTTATAGGCAATTTCATTTGACTCCCTGAAACAAGTTTTTAAGTATTATAGCAGCTTGGTTTTAATAGCTTTTTAAGTGAAATACTGGTATTTTAAAGTCTTTTATATAATTAAATGTTTATTCTTTAATAATTCAAATATTTACAGCTTATTTTAAATTGATGGTAAAACGTATGTATAGCCTATATATTAAGTATGGTTCTGTTAACCTAATTTCATTTTAAAACAGTACTGATCCCTATTATAGAAAAGAGTTAATAGATAAATCCAAATTGACATCTAAGCATTTAATTTAAGATTTTAAAAATCTTTACAAAAAATAAAATAGCAAAGTAGATAAAAAAATGTTAACTGAAAAACAAAATATTTCCTTATTATAAAAAAAAGTTGTAATATAATTTAATTCGATTTTTAAACTTCCCTGTTTTTATGCTCACTCTATATTTTTGCATTTTCAATGTCCCCCTGACACATTTCATTGCTAAGTATCCAAAAACACTTCACGTTCACTTGGAAAAGCTCTTAGTCGATTACCGATTCGTGCGACGACTTTATTACTTCTCCGATCGAATGAGAACTACTGGCAAACAAACCATTAACCCACACACACTCGCACACACTCAATTTACACACTGGGCCAATAGAAGTGACGTGTTATGGTGGCGCGATAAGATGGCTTCCATTTGGGGTCTCACAATTTCACAAGAAGTTCCTAGGAACCGTCACACCAGGCCCTATAAAAAATGGGCTTTATTGGGCCACCGTTGTATTTATTTTTTTTTTGTTCTATACACATAAACACCTCGCTTCCATGTCGCAAAATAGGCCGCAAATATATTTGCACGTTTGGATTTTATTTCGCATTTCGTGTTGCGTCGCTACGACTCGAGCTAAAAACTAAAACTAAAAGGCCACAACAAAAGTGGAATGAAAACGAAGAGCCGAAATGGGTGCATAAAAAATTCGTGATAAATAAAATTGAAATTCGAACTCATCATTATTTCCGTATTGGCACGAAGTGGATAAAGTTCGGTGGGTGGAGCTTCGGCTTTGACCTTGCCTGAGATAAGCCAACATATTTTGAAATATTCCGAGCTGGTCAAGAATCAATTAGCCAAAGGAGAAAAGCCAGAGACTAGAGTCGAGGGAATACAATATGCCATAAATGGCCGAGAACCTGTCCTAATGATTTATTTATTGTTGTTGTGCGCCTAGCAAATCAAACGATTCAAAACATATGGCCAAAAAACCACAAGGGGGTGGTATAAAGCAAAGGGACTGTATGAGACCCCATTAGAGTGGCCCTGAGCACACATGTCCATTTACCCTTTCCACCCATTTTTATACCCCTTATCACTTCAGATAAGCTCACTGGCTTTTCCGACTTCTCCCTCGTGTGCCATTTACCCCAAAATATTGCGATAGGCCTCGCCATATGCTACGCACAAAACCAATCATCGTGATATTGATCTATCAATTAAAAGGCTTTTGCTGTTGCCACATCGCACGAGTTATTAATTTGTAAATAGGTAGGTGTTTCATTCCTTCATGCATGCATATCATTTGTAAAAGTCGCTGGTCACTCAAAAATTGTAGACAAAGGTATTTAAGTTTCAGGTGGTTATCTCCATATTTATTTATGGTGAAGGTAAATAATTTAAGTTGATAAACCAAAAGCGTGACTTTGATTTAACACCTATTTTTAGTCCATTCAAAGATTATAACTTCTTCGGGTTTTTCTGTTTCTTTTGACTGAAATTAGACTTTATCATTATCGTGCATAAAATTTTAAAAAAATAACAGATTGAGAATTGTAAATATTAAACATTATATATATTTCTAATTGTTTGATCGTTTAAAATATAAATTTTCCTTAGCATGATAAACATTTTCAAC